ATTTTACTTATTATTTCTCGTACTTTGTTGTAGAACTCTCTCAAGTTTTTATTCGGGGCGTAGATAGCTGTTACTAATATTGAGGAATTACCTCTCTTAATTTCCACCACTAGTATTCGACCCTTTGAGTCTGCATATTTCAATTCTGCTTTTATTTCCTTCTTGATATACAGTACCACCCCTCTCTTTTTTTTTCCCTGCTAGGGAGGTATATAGATTTCCGAGTTTTTTGTACTCCAAATATTTTTTGTTTTCTTTTTTTATATGCACCTCTTGAAGGCATACTATGTCCACATTTTGTTTGACTAATTTGGTAACGAATATTTTTCTCTTTTTATAATCATTCAAGCCGTTTACATTGATCAATATAAGTTTCCAGTCATCCATTCTTGTAGCTTTGTGTTGTTTTAGTTCTTATTCGCCCATGTAACTCTCTGTGGTCTTTGTTTCTTCCTTACTTCTTTGCTTTCCTTCTCTTCTGTTTCTTTCTCCTCCTTTGCGCTCCCCTGCTAGAACCTCCAAACAAGCTCAAGGTTCAAGCAGGAAATTCTATACTATTTCAGACAACTAGCTGTCCAGTCTCTTCTTAAAAGCCTCCAGTGGTGAAGCACCCACAATTTCTGAAGGCAAGCTGTTCCATTAGTTGATTGTTCTCACTGTTAGGAAGTTTCTCCTTAATTCCAGGTTGCTTCTCTCCTTGATTAGTTTCCATCAATTATTCTCGTCTTTCCTTCTGGTGTTTTGGAAAACTTCTTCTGTGCTTTAAGCATATTCAAGTTACACTTTCATGGTCTACAAAGATAGGAGTGACATTAGCAAAAAATAATAATAATAATTCCAGTATCTCTATGAAAGCTTATGTATGTTTTGCTGAGAAAGTTTTTGTTCTCTTTTTCTGAAAGTGGAGAGAGAAGGCTCTCTGACACAACTATACCCACCTATACCTTTGATGAAGCTTCTTGGATGAGAAGCGAAATGTCTTCTTCCTCAAGGAAAAAAAAACATAGTCCAGTTGCCTTTTGGAAAAGCCCTTTTGAGACAACTGTAGTTTGAGTTTTGGAATGCAAACCAAAGTCCATATAAGTCAAAAGAAGCTTTAGTGGCCTTTCAGAAAGTGATAAATCTGCTGATTTCCTATACTGGTGTGGTTACCATTTACAGCTGACCACACCGCCCCCATAGAATTCTACGGAAAATAAAATTAACACTCATAGTTATATTGAGAGAAATGATGTTTTGTGAAACACTTAAAGAGGACAGATAAATTATAAAAAGGACATTGGATGGGCTTAAACCTTCTCAGATGTCCTTATATTGTAGCGAAATGATCTCGGGACTTGGAAACAAGTTGTAAGCTGCACAACATAGTTTCAGCTTTGGAATGCAAACCAAAATCCATATAAGTCAAAAGAAGCTTTAGTGGCCTCTCAGTAAATGATAAATCTTACATGGAAAAAGAGAAGATGTAGGAAAAAGCAAGGGAATAGGATCCTTATTTTTTTTTCTTGAATTTTAGTATCCCTTGAGAGTGTGAGTTGTTCTTTGGCAGATAGAAAAAAAGCAAGAGGCAGAAGTAAGCAATGTAAAAAAACAAAACATTGTTCGTTTTATTTTTTATTTCTCCTCTGAATGCCTGTAACTGCTGAGAGTGGTGCTACTCTATAATTGTAGTAACACATTCAGAGCTTCCTTTACCAATTCACAAAATATGTTTAATTTGAAGAGAATATTTGTAGTTCAGAATTGAACTGTGAAGTCTTTGTTGCTCTCTGAACTTATTTTTTTTCCTTGCAGACATTTCATTCAGACTAGGTAACATCATCTGTGCTAGATAGGGAGTGTGATTTGTTTTCATTTTATAACTTAATAATAATAATAATAATAATAATAATAATTTTATTTCTATACCGCCCTTCTCCCGAAGGACTCAGGGCGGTGTACAGCCTAATTAAAAAACAGAATAAACATCAATTTAAAATAATTTAAAAATATTAAATAAATTTGGCTTAATTTAAAACCCCAAAAATTTAAAACATCCAATTTAAAATTATATTGCTAACCCAGCCTGGCGGAACAATAGGGTCTTGAGTGCGCAGCGAAATACCCGGAGATCAGAAATCTTACGAATTTCTGGGGGCAGTTCATTCCACAGGGCTGGGGCTCCCACAGAGTGGGCCCTTCTCCCACAGAGAAGGCCCTCTCCCACAGAGAAGGCCCTTAGCTACTTAGTAGCTTTCCCTGACACTGGTGAGAATCGTCTTGGTGGTTCCTTGATTAGCTTATTTGTTTGAGTTGGTGTGGTTCCTTGGTTTGGGCATTCTTTACTTCATGATTGTTGGTCCAGTGTTAATTATGGTGTTGACTGTTGGTAATGTGATGTTTTGGTCTTTTTGTTTCCATTTTGGCTTTTTTTATTGTATCCTTTGAATAGTAGATGTTGTTTATCTCTATATGCCTGTTAATGGCTGATTTGTCTGAGTGCCAGGTTTACAGGAATCCTCTAGCATTCAGATTTGGCTTGGCCTAGGATGCTCACAGTTTCCCAGTTGAAACTATGGTTGTCTCTGTCCATGTGTTATGAAATTAAGGAGTTTTCATCATGTCTTCTGACTGTTAGTTGGTATTCATGGATGCTGTTTGTTTGTTTTCTGTTGTTTGTCTTATGTAGTGGCACTGTATTATTTATTTATTTATTTTTATATGCTGCCCTTCTCCGGAGATTCAGGGCGGCTTACAATGCATTAAGCAATAGCCTTCATACTTTTGTATATTTTATACAAAGTCAGCTTATTGCCCCCACAAACCGGGTCCTCATTTTACCCACCTTAGAAAGGATGGAAGGCTGAGTCGACCTTGAGCCTGGTGAGAATTGAACTCGCAGTAATTGCAGGCAGCTGGATGTTAAATGCTGCCTTAGTAAGAGGCATTAGCCTCCTACGCCACTCAGGCTCCTGTATGTTGTAGATTAGGGGCCATGGCCCACTACTGGGCCATGGCCTGTTTGAACCAGGCTGCACAAGCGAAGTTCCACTCATGCGAGCAGTGGGACCTTGCACTTGCACATGAAGTTCCACTTGCACAAATGCAGGGTTCTTGAGTGGAGGGCGCTTGTGCTTGCCTGGAAAGTTCCACTCATAAGAGTGGAGGACCCACACATGAGTGGAGGGCCCTCACACATAAAGCTCCACTCAAGCATGAGCACAAGCACAAGCACCGTTCACTTGTGCATGGAAGTCAATTCACATGAATAGAGGGTGAGCTTCCACCGCTCACACCAATGGAGTTGTGCACTCACATGTGCACCTGCCACTCATATGCCCCCATCTGCACTGGGACAGGCCATCAAGGTGGAAAGGATGGGAACTGCTATTGTAGATGACTCCTGTTTTTTCTTGTGGCGCTGCTGGGTCTTTTATTTTACCTAGGATGTTTTGGTGGGCTTTAGTTGATTTGTGTGCCATGGTGATGCCATGTGGCTCTTGGTGGTTTTTGAGATATTTTTGTTGTATAACAGTGTTATCGTTTTCACAACTTGTGTTGGTTGTTTATATTGGGTTGAGTGTGGCCAGGCACTTTTTGATAAAGCTGAGCGAATATACATTTTGTTAGATGCTGTGTAGATGACCTATCTCCTTTTTCTGGTGTTGATGGTTGCTGCAGTGTGTTTGTTTTCATTTAAATAGTGTTCTTATTGAGCTTCTCTTATGGGAAGTTGAATGTTGTTATCTAGTTTGATAATGAAAAGTTTGCAAGAAAACAACCAAGATCAGAGAGCAGCAAGGATCCCACATATATTTAATATGACTCTCATCAGACCCTGCATGCATGTAGATACATATGCTCTATCCTTCCATTTAACCAACATGAGTACTTTGTCTGCCTACTAATGTCCATCATAGATTCTTTCCATAGGAGACTATAATTGAGCACATGGAGATATCATTTCTGCATTCCATCAAGACAAGGCTAGCTCACATTATTAATGGACCCATACAGATTGCCTTATCTAAGAAAAGCAGCTAAATTGTAAGCTCTGCAAATGTGGAATTATTTTTTTTACAGTAATAATCATTGTTTGCAACCTTCCGATATCCAAAGTCAATGACGAATCTGAATTCCCTTTACAACCTTGTTGCTAATTTAAAAACTGTGTTGATTCTCTTAAGAACTGTGTCAAGGAAGGTTGAGGCAAAACTCAACAAATGTCTTGCTTAGCAAAAAAAAATTTGGGCTCAGTTGTAGTTATAAGTTGAGGACTACTGTACCTACACCTCCTCTCTAGCCGTGTCATAAATCACATTCTCCAGTTAACCACTTTGGCTGGCTGTGAAACCCAACACTCTCCTACTGATTGCTGGGGAATTTAGTTTCAGTTAGGGAAATCAATCAGCTCCATCAGTTCTCCCTCCCTCCTGCTCATGGCAACTTGAAAGCTTTGCAAGTTGACATTGGAGACACTTTGTACTTACTGAAAGCTTTCCTTCACACCACATTGTATTAAGGAGGAAAAACAAGGCACAACTGCTCTTTAGGATATCTTACCCACCTGACCTTCCATAAGGGCCTAAAGACCTGGTTCTTCCAGATGGCTTGGGGCCCCAATGGAGGACGGCAATTTCACTGCACTCCCTGTGCATGCTGCTCTCTCCCTCCCCAGCTTTTAACCATTATTTTATCTTTGATTGTAATTCCATTTTTATCATTTTAGAATAATTTAACTTCTATGGTTTTAATGCTTCTAATGCCTTATGCCACCTAGAGTTTATTTGCCAAGATGGTTGGCAAATTAATAAATAAATATATATAGGCAGTCATTACAGAGTAGCCCCACAGTTTTATTCACTTGATTCTACTACATGATGATATCTCAATATATGTGTTAATTCATTCATCCCTCTTTTCTCCCACATTATTTCAAAGTATATTTTTAAGGAAAAACTTGAAGAATAGATGTAGGTCATAGTTTTGATTGTGCATTTGTGTATATTTTTCCTCCTTAGGTACTCTCAGTCAAGAATTAAAAGTTGTAGTCCAAGAAGGAGATGAAGCCAGGCTTCCTTGCGGTTACAAAATCCCTAGAGGCACATCTCTAGAATCTTACTACATCTATTGGCAAAAGCCTATCCGTGGTAAACAAGACCTGGTTGTGATTTCATACAAGAACGGTAAAGAAGTTGAATTGGATAAGAACAAATCTTACACGAACAGAACAAAGTTAGATGAGCAGAATCTTACACTTTCAATCGCCTCAGTGACAGTAAATGATAGTGGAAAATATAGATGTATTGCCATATTACAAAGTGACATAAAAGAAGCACCTACCCATTTATCTGTGATAGGTAAGTGTAAACTACTGACACAACTTCTTTAATCTCTCTCTATCTCTCCCCCCCCCCGTGTATGTTTGTATAATTTTATTAAAGAGTTTTTAAAAGGAAGATAAAAATTAATACAAACTAATATAAGAAAACTAGGAAACAGAAAGAAAAAGAATTAAAGAGAAAGCTTAATACAAGAGAGAGAGAGAGAAAGTGTAAGAATAATAGAAAAGAAATTTTAAAAGGACAAAGAAACTTTCTGTCTTCTTTACAGCAGTTATTAGTAGTCTGAGGTTACAACATAGCTATCTTCTTTCTATCATCTATCCTATCTAATTATCAAAAGCACAAATCATAAAATAATTTATGGGGAAAAAAATCCATTAGGGGTTTCCAGTCAGCAATAAATTCTTCTCTGATCCAAGAAGTTAATTTAGCCAGCTCATCAAGTTCCATCATTTTCATGTTTATCATTTGTATACAATTTTACTAAAACTCAGTGAATTTACCTAAATTATTTGCAATAAATAATAAAATAAATTTCTTTTAATGCCTTTTATTCTACCATTATTTCTTTTTTCTCTAGGACATTTATTTAGTTTCCCCTTAAAAGAACTAGATTTACTTTTATAAATTAGTTATAAAAGTAGAATAAACTAGAAAGTAAAAGTAAAATTAGATTATGAATTGTGTTTCTTCTTAAAAAGAATATATAGTACTGTATATCTTTCAGGAAAGTAGGTGTATTTTCTTGAATTGCCATTTTTCTGTCTCCAATCAACCAGCCCTAAACTGAAGCTTTTGGTCATTTGCCATGAGTGATTTTAATATTTTTCTCAGAAGTTCTATACAGTTGTGTGGATGAAAGGAGATAATGCTTATTGGGAAGGGAAATGAAGCCAGGAGGGTTTAGCAATACTTACTTTAATCTATCCCACATCAAAAATATTAAGGACAGCATCAGTCACTGATCTTGTTACTGTTACAGAGTAGGGTGCAACAATCGGGGCACCAAATGTTACTCTGGAATATCTTTTGGTATACCTCTAGTAAACCTGACTCAGAGATTAGTGGATAGCACTTTAAGGCAATATTTAGCTAAACCCCTGAACTAAATATTATTTTCTAACTCTGGAATGCAATCCCTGATAGATTTGTCATACAGTAATAGGAATAATTTATGAGAAACCTTGTCACCACTCAGAAAATTTTAGATACATGTTAATTTCTACATTTTAAATATTTTTGACAGAATGGTAGTCTTTTGATTGAGCTGCCATATATTGATTTTTTTCTCCTTCTGTAAAAGCAGTTGGACTCCCAGCCATAGCCATCTGTTCCTAATCATCTTGACAATGAAATGATGAAATGGGCATTATGACATCACAATGCATGATACATAGAGTATAGAATCATAACTGTTCATGATATGATTTAGCCTCCAGACCCTTATCATCTTTGTTGCTGTTCTGTGAATACTTTCTAGGGTCTCAGCATCTTTCTTGTATTGTGGTGACCAGAACTGGACACAGTATTCCAAGTGATTTATAATTTATTGCAGTATATATTAAATTATAAAATGTGTATTAGAGACCAGGTAGGCCATTAGTTCTAGTGCCATCGGAGGCACAAAGCTAGCTGGGTAATTGAAACATCACTAATATTAATACCATCCTTAGTAGTACACACATACATTCTCAGTACATATTTTATATTAAACACTAAGTACCTAATTAAATAAATAAGTTTTCACTGCTGTTCAATAAAGATTAATAATGAGGATGCTGTCCTATTTTGGGAAAACATTTGCACAGAAGAGGAACTTGGCAGAGTTGCCTGAAATGTTTAAGAGAATTTTCTTAAATTCAGGATAATCAATGACAGGAAATTTAGGGAGAAAGCCTTCAGGTTTACTTGAACAAATTCCAATAATATCAAACAATGTTTCCATATGAGTCATATTCTGTAATATCTTACTGTCTTTTTTGTGTCTTCCAGTTCCATTTAGTACGCCTAAGATCCTGAACAATTTGTCCAGTGAACGTTGTGACCCAATAAATTTGACACTGATGTGTTTGTCTCATGGAGGTTCTTCAGAGCCAAAGATGTATGGATCTATCAATGGAAATCCAGTGAATTGGACTGTCACAAGCAATGAAATACTTGGTCGTTATAATATTACTGGCATTTTGCAGTTAAACATGTCAGAAAATATATTGATCCAGTGCTCAGTTCATTATTTAGATTTCCAAGTGTCAACCAATTATAGCTTGAGTAAGTTCCCTCCATTTTATGTAAAGGCAATCTTATTTGATTGTAGAACGTAATAATTGAGTGAATGACAAAATGCTATTTGAATTAATAATAATTAAATTAAAAAACTTATTTTTTATGAAAATTGCTCCTGCGGTTAGAAAAATAAATGAATGGGATCCAGTGTTACTCAGGTTTAGTCACACAAATTAATAGAAAGTAAATGACTAACCGTGCATTGATTTAAATTGATTTATTGTAGATAACTGCCAATTACTGCCAATTATTATTTCCTATTTGATCAGTTGAAGAGTCACTTCTGCACTTTATTCAATCTTTGAGAGACAGTAGACATACCGGCAAAAGTTAGTAGCCATAACTGTCAATTAAACTAGGTGAAGACAGTATTGAATGTAGCTTGAAGTAAATTTGAATACTGTACTCCTTTGATGTATGAATATAGGCAATATTCTTCCTGAGCTTCTGCTTGGAGTATGTTACCATTTTGCTTGGCATCCAATACATAGGACATACTTGCTCTAATCTCAACACTGGTTTCATCAGTGAAAAGGAAGAGAAGGAGGGCCAACCTTTCACTATTCTACAGCTTTCTGTTTCACCAGCCACAGGGGTAGGTGGGGAGAGCTCACCAACCAAGCTTTTTTCAGAAAGGTGAAGGCTGCAGTCCAGCTGAAATGCTATGAAAGATAGTGACCAGTGACCAGTGATTGCAAGGAGGGGTTCCAGCCACAGTGAACAGATAAAGGAAAATATAGCAGGAGGGCAAGATGGCACCACTGTGTCAGCATTAATTAGGAAAAAAAAATATTAAGAGGAAAAAAATGCCTCCATTGTGAGGGAAGGCAAATAGAGGATAATGTTATGTGTTCTTGTAGCTGAGAAATATTTAGCATCCTATAGTTGCATGGGGGCAACCTACTGATGCAACTCCATCTATAGCTAACACTAGTTTACACCATTTATTTATATACTCCATAAATTTCTAGGCCTTTATGCAGTTGTTTTCACTATATCATAGAACTAATGATTTCTTCACTGTGATCCTGTATTTCTCAATATTACATTTAACTTTTATTTCAGATATGACAAAGAACTGTTCTGAACCCAGAACTGAATTGCCACCATTGCCACCATTGCCACCATTGCCACCTTTTGGGATTATTATTTCTTCAACAGTGATCCTGATTTTCTTTCTAACTGTGGTAATGCTAGTAATACTCCAATGCTATGGTAAGTACTGATACCTGTATCACTAGCTGAAGCATTGTTATCCTCTCATCTATAATATTACCTATTTCCTTATATTCTTATGACTATAATTTTGTTGTTATATCTCATGATTGATGTTGATTGTTCCTATTTAGTATCCTAGTATAATTTATGTTGAATATGAAATGATAGAATAATCATAGGGCCACAATAGATTCTGACAATATGCAATCCTGTATAATTGTCCCTTCCCCATTTTTTGAAAGCTCATCAGCTTTCAGCAATCTTACCCAGGAATATTATGAGATCCCAAGTGAGAATAATAAAAACTTATCATATATCACAAGAGTTTATAATGATCTCATGACATTTGGTGTTTTTGCAAGATTTGGGCCTTTCCTTTTTAATGAATGTAACTGTCATTTGATGAACATAAGAGCCTCTGATGCCACAAGTATCATATTTCTAATTCTTGTGATATGGAAAGAAAATGTGAAACATACTGACAACTATGTTCTAATAATCAGAAAGTATGAAAACTATTCATTCATACTTGTATTCATCTTTACCTGAATGTATTGATTATATTGCCAATATAAATCTCCATCTGATCTAGTCTACTAAGAATGCACACACAAAAGTACAGCTAAATTTCAGATGTCTTCAATCAAGGTTGAAGGGTAGAGGTTAGTGTCAAACTACTTCACACATTCCTGCTTTAACACACATAGAATAGTAAGAATTATTTATATTATATCCTCAAAGAAATAGAGCATTTTATTCATCAGATTTGTTACTAAATTAGTCTTTGCCATTAATCTTCACTCAAGTTTAGCAACATTAATCTGTCTCAGAAATTAATCCTTTGATTAATTAATACCTGAGAAATTAATACCTGAAATTAATTTCAGATATTTTATTTGTTAGTCCAGTTTGTATGGATTAATTATATAAATATATCCAATTTATATTTCTGATTTCAAACTTTTAGTCCATTCCATATAGTTACTGGCCAGTTTTCAGTAGAATATTGTCTAGAAAGCAGGTTTCACATCGGAAACTGAACAGGAGGATTAATCCTTTTGTTGGGATAATAGCATTATCACTAGTTTTTTTTTTGTTTTTTTTTTAATTTGATTTATATGCCGCCCTTCTCCGAAGACTCAGGGCGGCTTACAATGTGCTCAGCAATAGCCTTCATCCTTTTGTATATTTATACGAAGTCAGCTTAGTTGTAGAGCTATAGTTGATGCCTGCATTTTATGCAGCACTTAGTGCTTGAATTTCTATCATTATAGTACAATCTGTTTTTGCAAGGTTACATGGTGAATTAATTGAGCTATCGATTATTCACACAGGTTTTGTGAAAATAAGGTTACAGGATCTGGAAAAAATATATGTTTATTTTTAAATACTGTTTCTCATCACAGGGTACTAAAAGCTCAAAAACAACAGAATATTATTATAATATAGTTTTTGCTCTGTTGCCCATTATATCTGATGGAGCATGAATTGCAATTCATCAAAATTCAGGACATAATAATTATATATGTGTGTATTTATGGTGCCACAGCCCCTGTTATTTTTGCAGAAAATGACTGAAATGTTTGTGGAAGTCTCTGCTTCTAGGAATCTCTCTTCCTATGTATCAAAAAGTAAACAAGTGTTTAAAAATTCCCTCAACTACTAATTTGCAATTTTGAAAATAAAACTTGGTCTTTAAGAGTGAAATACTTTTGTTTTCATGTAACTTTGGATTTCAGAGAATGTTGGTTTAGAATCTCTGTTGGGTAGTGGTTAAAGAGGGAAATTCTCCTGGAGGTCTGCTTTAGAATATATAATGTAGGCAGGTATTCTTTGCGTTTCCTAGTGTTATGCAAAGGCATTTTGCAAAATATGGAAGCAGATGCAACAAAACACTGTTTTCTTGTTTTCATCATTTTAATGTGTATAAACAAGAATTGGTTGTCAAATATAAATAATGCATATATCTTAGAAAAAACATGTTAACAAAAGTCCACATATAAAAACAAATTGTTATTATTATTACTTATGATGACTTACTGTAGATGGTTTGGATCCATATAGATGAGAATCTTCTATGAATTCTGCATTTTTAAGATAAATTGACAATGAACTTGCAAGTGCTGTCTTTTTCCCCTAAAATTTACAACACTATCCTTTCAATGATTATTCAGAAATAATTCCATGGAACATAGTGACAAATAAAATTGCAGAATTATTCAGTTGCAGCATTCCACCACTTTAAAAGCTGCCTGGAGAGGCCCACAGTGCCTATTTTATTGCTGCTCACCAGATAAAAACTTTTATTGACAAAAGTTTAATCCTGAACATGTATTGGAATCATTTTTGCTGTATCTAAAAGAAGATAACCTGTCTAAACTTTTTTTATTCCATACTAACAAACTACTTTACCATATAAGGAGAGGAATGGGCACAAAGCTAGTCAAAGTCCACCACATATGTTTTACAAACTAGAGACAGGTTCTTCTTACAATATGTACAATAACCCAGCAAGCCACTAACCTAGTTGGATCTTCTTAGTAAAGGTCTGACAGTAGACAATTACTCTAAGATCAAAAGTCAATTGGCTTTGGAGTTAATGGTTATAAATTTCACTAGCCAACTTCCTATTATCAGGCAGGGAGCAATTGATATCTTGACTGTTGAAGGCATAAGTATTGGGACATATGTTTTGGACTGCCGGGCTTTGGCAATGAATTCTATAATGCAATTTTTCCCCATTTCTGGCACTTTGTTCTCTTTTCCTCAGAGAACTAGGTGTACAAGCATGGGCTGCTGACTTGATTTAAGTATTCTCAGGATACAGCTAACGTGATGGAGTCATCTAACTCTAGGAACAATTGAGTTTATTTAAGGCTGAATTTAACCCTCTTATCTGAATTAATTGCCTTCTTTTTGCAAATTTGCCTCACTGACCCAGATAAATTGCTATGCTAGCAGATTTTTTTTAAAAGAAAAAAATGAAGAGTAGCTTAGGTGTGGTTAATTAATCAAGATAATATGGGTTATGTATATGTAATAAAAATAACTTCTTCCACTCAGTTTACATTGAATGAACAATATTTTTATTCATTTTTAAATAGCCCTATATAAGTATATCCTGTCCATTCAGAAAGACTATTCAAGAAAATGTGCTCTGTGACTTCCAGTTGGCATCACAGCGAGATCGGACATGGAAAGCGAATCTCCGCATCTCTGTGCCGAGTTCTCCCCATTTACCTGAAAGTTAAACCCAAAAGTTTAACTTTCTGTTAAAGTGGAAATCAAACACTTTGAGAAAACTACCAGGCCAGAAGGAAAGGATTAAAGAGAGAGAAAAAAATTCTTCAAAAAAGTAAGAAATTGGACTCTCAAATTGGAAAAAACATGACACTGGGAAGACAATTTAAAATGCTGGAGTTATGGATTTAAAATATTAACACTGCTTCTATAATTGAATTACAATTTAAAATAATTAAAACCAGATTTTTAGTAAAAATATTGAAAATTAACCTGAGAGTGCCACCTGCTGGTGAAAGGAAAATATACAAACCTGGGAATACCCATTTAAAGGACTGTGAAAATATTTACTGGACTATATACGTCTACCCTATGACCAATGGAGATTTAAATGTGAGAACAAGGAAGACACTTAATTAAAGTGACCTCTAAATGTTAAGTTATATGATTAAATCTATAAAGGTGACTTAAAAAGGCTTGGATAACTCCCTAGACTATGTAAATGGAACTGACTGACTACTTATGGAACATAAAGAACTGTGATTAGCATATACTTTGAAGAGTATCTTCAGGTTTGAACAAATGGTTCTTGGGCTATTGGCCAAAAGTGGAATTTATTAAAACAAGATAAGGTGCAACATAAGGAGGTAATGAGCGGAACTTTGAATGAGATGGAATGGATGTTTCAAGGCATAAAGGATATGATACAGAAAGAACATAAGGCAATTATGGAATTAATGGACGGCATAGATCAAAAATTGGAAAATATTATACAATGACCAAGATGCCCAGGAAAGGAAGGAGCTACGAGAAGGAATAGAGGGGAAAAACAGAATTGAGGAATCAATGAAAAGAAGATAACAAGGAGTCATCAATAAAATTAATAATGTTTGATGAATCAAACCAAGGGGAAAACATTCTAAGAGATCTGAAAAGAGAATGGGAGGAGCAGGAAGATACTTGGGGAAGGGAGGCAGGGGTCCGGCTAATAATTTTAAAGCTAGACAGTGGAAGAGGGTAGGGATGGGAGAAACACCTAGATTGACTAGGCAGAATGTAGACACAGATACAGACAGAGATAAAGATTTAAGAAAAGAATATGGGAAGCAAGTCAAAAAAAGAATAAGAATTGAAGTATTGATGCGGACAAGAAATGATGGATGGAAGGTGGGTAGGAAAAAGAAGAAAGAAAAAAAATTCTTTCTTTTTTTTATAATGGTGGCAGGAGGAGAAATTAGAACAGAGATGTTCTATGTGTTCAATAAGAGGTTGAAGGATTACTTGTATATATATCTTTACATGATGAAACAAAAGTAATAATAAAATGGGAAAATTAGAGATTAAATGATGATATTACTAGTACGCTTAAATAATATTGTGATTGGTAAACGTTGAGCAATTAAATAACGAAAAGAACATTTTAATATAAACATGTACTAATATCAGAATTATATAGATTGGATGAAAGCAAAGAATATCAATAGAGTTATTTTGTATGTTTAAATAATATTGGCATTAGAATAGTATATTGAAACATTGAACAATGAAACAATGGACAGTATTTTAATATAAATAGATTTGAAGAGGGGAGGGAAATATGGGAAATATGAATAAGAACTAAGTATTAAAAATTGGGAAATTAGAGATTGAATAATGGTATTATTGAGTATGTTTAAATAATATGATTTGCAATGGAATAAAGTGAAATAATGAGTAATAAAATGATGAAAGAACATATTTTAATATAAACAGGTGTATTAATGGTGGAATCATGTAGATTGGATGAATGTAAAGAATATGAATTGAATTAATTTGCATGTTTAAATAATTTTTTTTAAAATTTGATTTATATGCCGCCCTTCTCCGGAGACTCAGGGTGGCTTAAAATGTGCTAAGCAATAGCCTTCATCCTTTTGTATATTTATACAAAGTCAGCTTATTGCCCCCACAACTGGGTCCTCAATTTACCTACCTTAGAGAGGATGGAAGGCTGAGTCAACCTTGAGCCTGGCGAGATTCGAACCTGCAGTAATTGCAGGCAGCTGGTCTTAATAACAGGGTGCTTTAGACCACTGTACTACCAAGGCTATTGTGATTGGTATTAGAATTGTATATTTAAATATTGAACAATGAAATATTGAAGGATAGTATTGCAATACAAAGGGAACATTTTTTAATTTAATGATGAAATGAATAAAAGAATAAAGACAGAAATAAGAGAAAGGGGGAATATTAGTATATACATTTTTATAAAATAAGATAAGTGCAGTGATAAGGGAGGTTTAGAAACTGAACGGTGGTAGTATTATGTATGTTTAAATACTATGAAATAATGAAAGATTATAATTTGATATAAATTTGTATTACTACTAGATATATACTGTATAAGCTGGATGAATGTGATAACTATGATTAATAATATTACTTTATCTGTACTGAAATATATGGCACCCAGGTGTCATACTGTTCACGCATTTATATGTATATGTAATATAAAATAAAAAAACTTAATAAAAAAAAAAGAAAACATGCTCTGTGATAAACCAGCAGACAGCCATGCTTTGGTGCCAATCTGTCACAGATCAGCATCCCTGTGTGGACTCTGTAGTGGATGGTGGGAGAATTAAAAAATAACCTAATCAAAATATCTTCCTTTACTTTTATGCTTAATTTTATTGATAAGGATCTGGGAATAGAAGGTAGGTTAGATTCTCTTAAGACATAGTGTTAAAAACAGAAAGGCCGAAAGGAGGGTGGCATGAAATTAAGAAGTCTTACAACTATCAGAATGAAACATTAGGATCAGAGAAGATTCTTGGCAGGCAGCTTAAAGTGTTATAGTTAAAATGGATTAAATAGCTCTGGGAGCTGTTGAAGATGGACCATATATTATTGGTTTTCATCCAGAGTAGAATTGACCAGTAAATCTAAAATGGGGTGATCAATTTCCACTAATTAAGTTTTATGGGATCCTGGGTGAAGCCAAAAGAAAACACAAGGGGTTTTTTAAGGGCACATTCTGCAGAAGGAAATATATTGAAGAGGAAAAGCACTATGGAAAATCCAGTTAGATAACCCAAAAATTATTTGGAATTGGAAGGAACGGAGCACAACAAGATCAAAGCTTTGCCCTCCAGATACTCTCCCATCAACTCTGTAGCTTGAGTCTGGTTGGTATTAATTAAATTCTTTCCTTAGACCTAGAGTAGTAAAATAGTAATAGTGCGAGGAGTAAGGTCTGTAGAGAGTGCACATGTATTATACCACATCATATTGTGTCTAAAATTGCTTTCTTAAAGTGATTTGATAACACACATACATCTAGACTGAGACAGCCTCTCATTTTGGAAAAGGGAAACTGTCTACTAAAGAATGTAAGATAATGTTGAAACTGGTAGAACTCAGGGGTGAAATCCAGCAGGTTCTGACAGATTCTGGAGAACCGGTAGTGGAAATTTTGAGCAGTTTGGAGAACCGGTAGCGTAAATTTTGAGTAGTTCAGAGAACCAGCAAATACCACCTCTGACTGAGCCCAGACCCCAGAGTGGGGTGGGAATGGAGGTTTTGCAATATCCTTCCCCCAGGGGAGGGAATGGGGATTTTGCAGTATCCTTCCTCTGCCACGCCCACCAAGCCATGCCATGCCCACCAAGACACGCCCACAGAACCGGTAGTAAAAAAAATTGGATTTCATTCCTAGGTAGAACTACTTATTTGATCAGATTAAGACTTAGCTTTTTATCCAAATGGCAGATTTATTTCTTTGTGTTTTACTGAAATAAGAGAAAAATCTGTGATTTAATTTTGTTGTTGTTGTTGCACTAGTTCACAAGCATCCAAGGTCCTCCACCACACATCAGTCACTGGCAACAGATGAAATGATACTTGAGGAGCAATCTAGTGGGCAGACATCTTCAGGGCTGGGGAGGTAAGATTGGTGCTCTGCATTGTCCTCTTAAACAAATGAAAATAGAATCAGAGTTGGAAATAGCCCATTTCAATTTCCGCTTGCACCTTTAAGCTCTTCACAGAAGATGCTCCCAGTCTCCATAAACACACTCGGTAGAAAGAGGCCCACCATCACTCTTGCTAACTATTGTCAAACTGTTTTTACAACTTTATTTTACTATTCAACTCCCACACCATACAAGCCAATATAGTATAATAGTTGACATGTAGGAGTATGTGTTATTCTCAGCCAAGGAAATTTGCTATCTCCCAAATAAGGTTTGTTGTGGGTTGTTACTTGTTATAATTGATAACTGCACTGTATAATTTAAATCCATGTTTCCATATTGTATATTATATTGTATTATAGTGGTAGAGAACATATTTTGGGCATCATCTTTTGGACATTAACTGCTATCATATATTTTTCACAAAACCTGCATGCTTTTTATTTCTGAAATGAATGTTGGATTTGTTATTAAATATCATTAAATCATTTTCAGCACATTTATCTAAATTAACTTATTTCTATTAAGATCATTTAAAAAAAAATTATTTAGTTCTCCTAGCCAATTTTGTATTCTTTGCTGATAGAAACAATGTTTTCTTTTGTATATTAAATGTTGGCGTGATATGGGAGTCCAATGGCATTTTATTAGATATTTTACATGCCATTCATTCAAATCTTGTACACCTACCTACTATCTACAGTGCAATTTAGAATTTCATACAGCAATTAAAGTTATTTAAAACTTTCAGCATAAAAATTTTAAAGTAACAGCCTTAGACTAAAAAAAAAATACATTATATGCCTCCTCCTAAACTGTAACAAGCAAGTCAGCCTTTGGTTACCAATTATTCAATGGAATACAAAATAACTACTAAAATTTCATATTCTGTTAAGTTAATATTTTCAGGTACTGAATACCTGAATACACTGAATCAAAACCTTTCTGGATAATTTTATGAGATTTGACTAAGTGAAAGGAATATTTGAATCTTACTGAGAATCCTGCTTACATTTTATCCATAGTTTGGACATCAGGTTCCTGAGTGTGCTACTGACCACAGAAGTGTAAATCTTAGAACCTTAGAATTTTGCTCTTTTCAACACTTCAGTTATATATATTTATTTTATTTATTCATTTATACTTTTCCTTCTTTCCTTCCCTCCCTCCCCCATAGACACACACACATAGTATGTCACAGAAGTGAGTACACCCCCTCACATTTTGTAAATATTTAAGTATATCTTTTCATGTGACAACACTGAAGAAATAGCACTTGGCTACAATATAAAGTAGTGAGTATACAGCTTGTATAACAGTGTAAATGTGCTGTCCCCTCAAAATAATGCAACACACAGCCATTAATGTCTAAACTGCTGGCAATGAGTACACCCCTAAGTGATAATGTCTAAATGGGGCCCAAAGTGTCAATAGTTTGTGTGGCCACCATTATTTTCCAGCACTGCCTTAACCCTCCTGGGAATAGAGTTCACCAAAGCTTCACAGGTTGCCACTGGAGTCCTCTTCCACTCCTCCATGACGGCATCACGGAGATGGTGGATGTTAGAGACTTTGTGCACACATACGCCACACACACTTGACACCATCTGAACCAAATAAGTTTATCTTGGTCTCATCGGACCCAGGAATTCATGTCTTAGATCTGCTTGTCTGCAACAAACCATTTGTGGGCTTTCTTGTGCATCATCTTTAGAAGAGGCTTCCTTCTGGGACAACAGCCTGCAGACCAATGTGATGCAGTGTGTGGCATATGGTCTGAGCACTGACAGCTGACACCCCCCCCCTTTCAACCTCTGCAACAATGCTGGCAGCACTCATATGTCTATTTCCCAAAGCCAATCTCTGGATATGACATGAGATATGCACAGGCACTCAACTTTTTTGGTCGACCATGGTGAGGCTTGTTCTGAGTGGAACCTGTCCTGTTAAACCACTGTATGGTTTTGGCCATTGTGCTGCAGCTCAGTTTCAGGGTCTTGGCAATCTTCTTATAGTCTAGGGCCCTAGGCCATCTTTATGTAGAGCAACAATTCGTTTTTTCAGATCCTCAGAGTTCATTGCCATGAGGTGCCATGTTGAATGTCCAGTGACCAGTATGAGAGAGTGAGAGCGATAACACCAAATTTATCACACCTTCTCCCCCTTCACACCTGAGACCTAGTAACACTAATGTGTCACATGACACCAGGGAGGGAAAATGGCTACTTGGGCCTCATTTGGATATTATCACATAGGGGCGTACTCACTTTTGTTGCCAGCAGTTTAGACATTAATGGCTGTATGTTGCGTTATTTTGAGAGGACAGCATATTTACACTATTATACAAGCTGTATACTCACTACTTTACATTGTAGCCAAGTGTCATTTCTTCAGTTGTCACATGAAAAGATATACTTAAATATTTACAAAATGTGAGGGAGTGTACTCACTTCTATAATATACTGTATGTATGTATATTTTTCGGAGTATAAGACGCTCCGGAGTATAAAACGCACATTAGTTTTTTGGGAGGAAAATAAGAAAAAAAAATCTGCCTCTACCTACCAGCATCCATCAGTATTCATTTGGCTAGCGTCCTTGCAGCAAACAGCCTGGCCACCTTCAGTACGTTATCACAGCCTGATTTAGAACAAACAGCTGATTGTCTGTTTTCCGGTATTCCGGTATCGGCCTCCCGGAATACCACCAATCAGCTGTTCCAGGCTGAGTGGATGGCCCGAGCCCATCGCCGCCTCTGCACGTCGCGGTTTTGGCCTCCGCGCATCAAGCTTTTGGCCTTCGCACACTCCATTTTAGACCCGTTCCAGGCTGCGGGGATTGCCACAGCATATTGCCGCTGATCACCGCCTTCACATGTTGCATTTTTGGGGCCCATGCATCCCGTTTTTGGCCTCCATGTGTCGCATTTTCGCCCGATTCCAGGCGGCGGGGATCGGTGGCCAAAAGTGCAACACACGGACGCAAAAAACAGGGCGTGCACAGAGGCGGCGATAGATGAAGATGTGCTGTGGCGATCCCCACAGCCTGGAACAGGTCTAAAACAGGGTTTGTGGAGGCCAAAAACGCGATGCGTGGAGGCCAAAAATGGCTGAAGGGCAGGGGCCAGCGGATGGGCAGGGCTTTGGCAACATTTGGTATATAAAACGCACCACAATTTTCATCCACTTTAAGGTGGGGGGCAAAGTGCATCTAATACTCCAAAAAGTATGGGGTGTGTGTGTATGTGTGTATGTATGTATGTATAGATAGATAGATGATAGATAGATAGATAGATAGATAGATAGATAGATAGATAGATAGATAGATAGATAGATAGATAGATAATCTACACCCACGCACATGCACACACAACATATAGCTTTTACCCATGTAGGATAGGAACAGTTTTAAGAATAATTTTTTAACATAAAAACACATGTAGGGTGAAAGGATTAGACATTTTTGTTACTGGCTTTTTAAACATTCAGCAATATTTTAAAACTAACTTAAAAAGAAAAACAATCTGAATTCCCCAATACACCCTATACCCAATATACCCTAAATAATGTTTCATTTCCACTAAAAATGGAGCCAAATAAAAACAAATAAAGAAATGAGTTTTGATCCACTTATAAATCTCTGTTTCCCTCTTCCCAGCTTTGAATTGGTTAATGATAATTTAGGAGAGGACAGAGATTTATTAAAGTTTTCCACAGTATTGTATCCCTTGCATTATTCCAGACTTTGAAGGTTAATGGGAACATTCCATACCTATGAAGTCACATTAAACGTGAAACCACGTAACTTCTCATGTTATTTTATTAGATATTCAAGGTTTTTTCCCCCTCTGAATTTGCAACAAACTCCATTCATGTATTTTACATTTTTTGTATTCTCAGATCTCCACCCTGATTTTGAGTTGCAGCTTCCAGACTTATTTTGGTTAAGAGATTCTGATACTGAACTGGGATGAAGAATTCTCCTAACAGAATTTAATGGTGACTATAAACCACAAACTTATTTGAAGATTTCCCTTTACATACATGAAGATGGGTGATAACTTTGTGTGGACTTGAAAGCTAATCAGGACTGCATCTGAGAAAGTCTTGAATGATAAGTTGTAGACAAAATTATATGGTAGTCCTGTTAGAAGAAGACACTGTTTTCAAGTTTGAAAACAAGATTGGAAAACTGGGGAAAAAAAACAAAGCAGTGCAAATCACATTCAAACTGCTGTGAGGAAAACTGAGATGTCTGTTGCACTGCGGTTTTGTCTGTCATTAATGCTAGGGTATTGGGGTTTTTTTTCTAAAAATAACCTGATTTTGTGAGTCCTTTTTGTATGAACTGTTTTTTTGTCTTATTTATAAAAGATGGTAGGGATGCATGGTGTTAATAACAATTGGAGAAGTATATAAGCCCAACAAAAAAAATGATTAAAATGTTATGTTTGTACCAGGGGTGAAATCCAGCAGGTTCTGGAGAACCGGTAGCAGAAATTTTGAGCAGTTCAGAAAACTGGCAAATACCACATCTGGCTGGCCCCTGAGTGCAGTGGGAATGGAGATTTTGCAGTATCCTTCCCCCAGGAATGGGAGGGAATGGGGATTTTGCAGTATCCTTCCCCTGCCACCAACCCACACCATGCCCACAGAACCGGTAGTAAAAAAATTTGGATTTCACCACTGGTTTGTACTCATATAATCACCAGAGTACAGCGCAATTTGGAAAACTTTTTTTTTTTAAATAAAAAATCCTGTACTGTAAAATAGTGCCCTGAAAAAATCTACAATTAGTCCAAAAGTCTTTGTGAACTGATCCTTGCAAGGTAGAATTTTAGAGTAATAGCAAGATGTTCTCATGTGTCCTAGTAATTCCATGTATTTAATAGAAGTATGCAGGCTATTAATATTTTTCTGAAACTTTGTAATTCCTAGGAATTATAGTATGCCTACTACGTAGGTAAATGTAGCTTTTCATTTTGAAAACTTCCCTTAAATGGAACTTGAACATGAATAACCCTGCTTATTTATCATGGAAAGCTGAACAATGTAAGAAATTATGTAACGTAACTTGGTGCTATAAAATAATCTAGAATTAATAAACAACATGCAAATTTTTATAGAAGGCAGGGTTTATACTTTTGATCAATTAATAATGAAAACATTGAATAGTATTTGTTTCCATTTTAAAGAACAAATATTATATTCCGTTAGTGATTAACCAATTCAATATGGATAGAAGACTGGGAATACAGTTAAATGCATCATCAGTTTAACGTTCTTGTATTGCCACAAGAAATCCAAGTCCAGTTCCCGTTGAATTCCGTTGACCCTTATCTAGCGCCAATTTAGTGCTGATCATTAATTGACTAGATTCTTGTATAAAGGCTTGAATAAATCTTCTATGATGCAATCTTATGAATGGTCTGATTCTTTGCATCTGACAAAGTAGCTGATTCCAATGTAAGATAGTAGCTCAATAGGTTAAACAGAGCAGAATTGATATTCCTATTAGTCTATATAATGGAAAGTATTGTTGACATCAATTCTAAAAATATCTACACACCTTAGATTACATTTTATGCAACAAAAAATATTTCATATCTATTGAATTTCTTTGAAATTTCATCATGGTGAAGATTGTTTTATTTAAATGTTTATACAGTGTCTTATAACAAGTCATTTTAGAAACAGTAATTAACATATTCAATTTTGAGACAAGTTCTTTTCAACTGTAGTCTTTATCGAAATTGACATTAGACAAAGAAACTAGACATTGCCATGCTGACAATTTTGACTATTTTTCCAACATTACACAAATAAATATATGGCCCCAACTATGTAATGGGCTGCAGAAATGACATTAGTAATTTATAATACATCATCTACTAGCAGAGATTACACGTATAATTGCAATGAAATGCTTATGTACTCTTATTTACTGCATGTATATGTCAGTGTACATTCTGTATTTTTTAAAGTTTTTTTATAATTGTGTCCATTTTTAAAAAAAATAAAACCTTCTAAAAGTTCTTTTAAAGCTGTATTACTAGGTATTGCTGTAGCCACAGCTTATTCGTCATCTGAATAATCAATTTACTGCTGCTTTAAATGTGTGCCTCAGGCTTATGCGACAGGATTTTAATGAACTAAAATAGTGTCTGGTATACCTTGATATGCAACAAAATTAGAAAATACTAACCTGTTTTAAATGGTAGGGATTGGGTTATCTATAGACATGGATCACAAAGAGCCACCTGGTTTTCAGAAGAACTCCAGAATAACACTGGAGAAAAATGAAGAATAAACTCAAATGAACACAAGTAACAACCTTTATTAATACCTAATAAAGGGAGTGAACTGTTATTTCTTTGCCCTCAACTTTTTTTTTTTTTTTGCAGAATGCCAACTAATGTCCTAATATGGTAATTTGTTATCTTCTGGGTAAGGAATAGTTATAGGAATTTTTGCAGCATTGATGTAAGGACTATTGTAGGCTGGATAAATAGGCTTGAATTTGTTGGGAGTGAAATGTATATTATTATTATTATTATTATTATTATTATTATTATTATTATATTATTATTATTATTATTATTATTATTATTATTATTATTATTATTATTATTATTATTATTTATTGGTTAATCTTTAGTGAGATTCACAGCCTTTGAGGCTGGTTAATAGCTCAGCAGCTCGAGTCCTAACCAAGGACCTAGGAACTGTTAAGCTATCGTCGGAGGATGTAAGCTGTTCCGAGTAAGGTGGTTTTTTGTAGAGTCAAAATGTTCAAGTCCGGCAAATTTAGAATTTCTAAATAGCGGGGTAACCCTTTGGGTATTGCTCCGAGGGCTCCAATTACAATCGGGACAACACACGATTTCTTTTTCCACAGTCGCTCAACTTCAATTTGTAAGTCCCGGTACTTTGTGATTTTTTATTATTATTATTATGATTATGATTATTATTATTATTATTATCATTATCATTGTACATGTATACACAGTATACCCATACAACGAAATTCACTTAACACCCAAAGACCAGGTCCAACACAATAATAATCCTCAAACACACTCTCACCTACCACAATTCCCCACCCCTAAACCACCCAAACATCCACACAACAGACCAAGTAATGCTGTCCAACAGCTCACTGATGGTGGCCCTTTAGTTCATTGTTCAGTGCAATTATAGCTCTGGGATAAAAACTATTCAAAAAACGTGTGGTCCGAGTTTTAATTGTTCTGTATCTTCTGCCAGAAGGCAACAGTCCAAAAAGATTGTAAGCAGGATGGGAAGAGTCTCTGAGAATGTTATGCAACTTCCTTAAACAGCAAGATTTGAAGATGTCATCCAGGGCTGGTAGCTGGAGCCCGATGATATTCTGGGCAGTTTTAATGATTCTCTGTAGAGCTTTTTTTTCTGCTAGAGAGATGCTCCCATACCATGCAAGAGTGCCGTATGTCAGGACACTCTCAATGGTGCTGCGATAGTAGGACAGAAATAGATGCTGAATAGATTTATCTTCCTGAGCATTTCTCAGGAAGTACAGCCTCTTCTGTGCTTTCTTCACAAGCATGTTAACATTCATAGTCCATGAGAGGTCCTTCGAGATATAAATGCCCAGAAATTTAAAACTACCAACCCTCTCCACCTCCTCACCATTTATGTAAAATGGTAAATGTACATCTCTCTTCCTCCTGAAGTCAATTATAAGTTCTTTAGTTTTTTTGGTTTTAAGTGTAAGATTATTTTCTTTACACCTTATTATTTTCTTTATTTATCTTAGGTGTCATAGGTTATCAGTAGTAGTTGCTTTTTTTAATCCCTGTATGCTACCCAGTCGTCGTGAGATGGGTGGTCATAAAAATCATTTAAATAAGCAGGAAGGGAAAGAATATTAAGTTGAGAGCAGGATATGCTAAAAAGTAAAAATGTGAACATAAATTATTCAAGACACTCACTAATTATTACACTTTAATTCAGGTGAGTTGTAACAAATACCACATTCCAGTTTCATTTGAAAATGGTTCTTGATTTCACATCTCACTGTAGATACTTTTTCAAAGGTTTTGCTTTTGAACAGTCAACTGTATTCCATAATTTTCTTTCCATTAAGCTTTTATATTTCCCTTTATGAATAGTTTTATTCAATCAACAATTTTGAGAATTCAACCAGGAGACAGTGATTCTGATAAAAAATTCTTATCAATGCCTCTTCATTAAATTTTAGGCAGTTCATAAGTCATTTTGGAACTTTCTGAGAAGCAATTGTTTCAAACCCTCAATTATAGTGAAAATATTTCTCCCATTTATACAATTATAAATCTGTAAAGTACAAAATAATTCAGGGGTCCCCAATCCCCGGTCCGTGGCCCAGCACCTTGACAACTGGGCTTTCCAAGCGGTGGGTGAGGGCACAAAGCTGCATTTGTGCAAGCAGTGTGCGCACGAACCACCCCCCTCCCCCGATTAACTGAGCCAGAAAGTTTGGGGACTGCTGGACTAATGCCAAGACTTTCATCAAGTTTACTTCACTATGAAAATGAGACAATTAAATATTTATAGAAAAGTATCTATTTATAAGCATGTGTACACATATTACATATGTGTAATGTGTCAATCACACTATATTTAGTGTGTGTGCGTGTGATTGACACACATTATATATAATGTATAATGTATATATATTATGTGATTAATATATGTATACACACGCTTATAGATATTTTCTTTACTGAATGGGGGTCATCCATATATTACGAAACGGAGACAACATGCTCATGACTATTTACTGCTACCTTTTTTGAAATCCACAATTTTCCTGATTTCAAAAAAGTTATTCAAAAAAGTAAATGCATTCTTAGAAGAAGGTTCCAGGAAAATCTAGATAATTCAGATGAAATGACTGATGGAAAAGGTTGTATTATATTACAGCACTGGAAGAAGAAATGTTCTTCCCTTTATTAACAAGTGCTTTGCAGATGAATTTTAATGTAGATAATATTTCTTCTTTCAATGATGTAATACAATACAACCTTTTCCATCAGTCATTTCATCTGAATTACCTAGATTTTCCTGCAACCTTCTTCTAAGAATGCATTTTTATGCTGCCCCAAATATTTTCTAGCACCTTTTCTCCCATTTTCACATTAAGCTTCTTAAATACTGGATATGAAATGGCACTTGACTAAAACCTGTGTTGAGACAAAAATCTTCAAACACACCTTATAAATTATATAGGAAATATAAAGTGATTTAGTTCTGTTCCTCGGTGTAATGTATAAAATGGCTGACTTTTATATTGCAACCTATATAATAGAACAGTTTTAAATGTTTTATGCATTATTTCTGAAAACATGTTTGAAATCATTATCTTGCAAATAAAATATGACTGGGTCAGCTGAAATAGGCTCGAAGAATAACAAACTTAACAACCATAATTCTTCATGAACTAATTCACATAATCACTCACTGTGGTATGTAGTTTCCTTCCTTGCCATATTTATGACCAAAAAAAATCAGTTGATGCACTAATTAGATGCCAGTACCAGTTTACATATTTGAGAGAAATGTTTTTTTATTCATCTTCATCTCATGGTTGTTTGCTTGAATGGGAAAGTCAAAACAGAGCTGGATGAGATTGCTCGAACATAGAAATATTTTCTTTTCCTAACATTCATTCAAATGAGATAATTATTTCCTAAGTAATAATTGCAGGAATAGAATAAACTCAGCTCATTATCACTGGTTGCAGGGGAGTGACACTAAGCAATAAAGGAGTTTGAGACAACTCTGTCTAGAAAGAAGTGTTGGGAATGTGAGGTACTGGCTTACTATAAGGATTTGATATAAGGTACATATTGAGACATAAGTGTTTCAAACTTCTTTTACACTATGGGCTCTAAACTGAACAAAAGTCACAGTTTTTCAAATATATTTACTGATTTTGTTTATAGTTAAGGGAGCAGTAATAGTACTTCTAAGAATTTGTGTTTTATATGAATATTCCCAGGAATTATTTTTATACACCTTTATGTTTTTTTTAAAGAAATTAAAGTTACTGTTTTCACCACAAAAAGTTGTTCTGTTGTCACCTGCACATATTTAATTATGTGTCCAAGAGGTATTTAAACTACTCTCCGTCCAACAAAGGGCTTCTAGTCCATTTTTAAACTTGAATTTCCGAGATTATCTGCCATCTTTTTCCTGTAGGATATTATCTGTTCCTTCTGAAATATCTTCAGGGATCTCAAGACTGGCTTCCCTAAACCAAGAAAAAGGCTTCAATATTCGTGGACAATAACAAACATAATTGTACATATATTTTTATAATGTCTAATATTAGAAAAGAATTTAAAAGCTGTCTCCAAAAAAGCCAATCTTTCCACATATAACTCAATATGAAGAGTAGATTTTGCTCCCAGACGAACCTCTCTTTAAATTGTAGATACTAGTAGTACTACATATTTCAGAAGAGGCATTCCCAGCCAAGGAATGCACAGCTGCCGACCCTCTGTGAGGTCTCCCAGGAATTTTGTTCAGTTTTGCAAGACACTATGGAGGCCTCATATGGTCTCTTGAATGATGTCAGGGAGGCCTCAGGAAAGCCTTGTGTGTTGTGGTCCGCCAGCAGTCTGTGGAGCTGGCAGCAGAGTCGGACAGTGAGGAGGCTGGGGCGGAACATGGGCCAGTCCTGGAGTCTGGGGAAGGCTCAGACGAGGGCTCTGCGTCAGAGGCAGAGAAAGGGCCATCTGGGAGGTATGTGCTGCCTCCAGAGCCTCCAGAGTCAGACCTCAGGGAGGCAGAGGAACAGGGGGAGCCTGTTCCCAGTGTGTGCATGCGCAGAGCTGCCAGAAGGCAAGAACAGTTAAAACAAAAGGGATAACTCGGGAATAGGGCTTGGAGATTATTGGCGCCTCCCATAAGACTTAAAAGAGGAGCAAAGGCACGTGGGCCTTTGCAGGAAGCAATGTTGATAATTCTGTTCAGTTTAAAGTCTGAAGCTCTGTTTGATTCTGGACTCCATGTGGTTTTGCCAATTAGGTCTTTGGCAGCATGTCAAGAGAGATAAAGGTGGGTGATTATCAGCCTTATCCCGAAGAACTCTTTACAACTATTTGGGACTCATTTGTGAATGAACAGAATTCACAGCTGTTAAAATAAAACAGCTTTTTGGGACGACTCATGTGTTTTACTGACTCAGGAAGCCTAGGTCAGAACATTGTGAAAGGCCAGCAGCTGCCTTCTGGGCACAACTCAGCAGCAGAAGGAAGAAGGCAATGAAGATCAGCTTGGGGTGGCAGAGGCAGTGGAGTACAGAGCAGTCAAAAAGATAGAGGTGGGGGAAATGGGGGAGGACAGTTCAAGTGAAGGTAGAGTGGCAAAGCAGGAGAAGCAAGAGGTCCTCAGCAGTGCAGTTCTCATCTAAGCACACAACCGAGACTATCAGAAGTACCATCGCTAAGTGGTACAGTTATATGATATTTTGCCTAACAACCACTTTGTTTAATGATGGAAATTCTGGACCCAATTAGGAATTAACATTCCCAATTAGGAATGTTAAACCATGACTACCTGAACTGATAAGACCATTTTTTTTTTGCAACCTTGTCAAGTTTAAAATCAACCTTGTCAAGTTTATTTCCACTGCCTGCTGTATTACTTAAAGTTAACCATCAAGAATACTTATCTCACTTCAAAGAGTAACTACCTTATATAAGTTGTTAGTTAGGTACTTATGCTTATTCTATCAAAGACAAACAAATGGTTTGGCATAATTTACTTTGTAAAATATTTTTATCAACTGAACAAATGGAGCCGGAGTCAAAATATATAAATTCTTTAACAAAGTCATGCTACACATAGTATCACATTTGCATACTTGACTGCATACAAATATCAAGTCACATTATTATAGAAGTAGCAAGGACCTGTGAGTTATGGAGACTGAGACCCAGCTTTTTCTTATATAAAGGAATAACTCTGGTTTCTTACCACTTTTCAATCTTTAATGCATGTAGCTCACTTTTCTTCCTTTTCTTTCTGTCAATAAAAGTTTCTCCAGCAACTTTTTGCAGTCCCATTAGTAATGTTCCCAGAGAGCCACTGCCAAAAAACACCATAGGAAATAAATGTAGCTATGTGGGCAACCTACAAGCAGGAATTATGGTAATGAAAGGATCAGACAATAACTGCTAGGATTAAATCTCTGCCTCTTTCCTAAACCTTTTCCTTTTAAAAGGAATGTGGGAAATTAAGCCAAATTGTATAATCCATTATAAAAATCAAATCATCTTCGTATACAATATTTTAAGTAAGCAAAGAAATTACTAGGCATATGTTTATTATTCAGCATGCAATACAACAGTTACTTTTATGTTATAACATATGAAAAGTTTGGTAGTCTCTAATCATAATAAAAGCTAGCTTGCTTCCTTCTGTCCTAATTTTTCAAATGAAAGCACTCAAGAATGTAGGTTTTTAAAATTTCTCCCTCCGCAATGTCAGTGAATCAATAAAATGAAAACAAATGTCCAAGTAACTATGTTCAAAACTACACAGTTAAATTATTTTGAGTTATACTGTAGCAGCTTCTTTACCAAAGTACAAACTACAGATTTTGCAGTGGTTTTTAGTCCAACTATAAATTTAGTTTCTTTTACTATGTAAAAGTATTATATTACCTGAGGGATATACTCATGTGAGCCTTCTAAAGGATTACAAGTTCACCAGGAAACAGAATATCTAAAACAACTATTTTAAGGTACTTTGAGGGAAACACAGCAGTTTTTCTCATTCTTCCATCATGAAAAGAATAATAGAGGCATCAGAAACTTCTGAAGAAATAGACAGTAGCTTACATGGTTGAAGTTGTCTATTTTTCCTAAATCTCCATTTAAAATACTGAAACTACCCCATTAAATAATGAACTTTCTAAGCTAAAAGGCTGTCTCAGAATGAATGACTAATGAATCCTCTAGTTTAAAAATGCTTGATGTTATTTAAAATACAATTTACACTGCTATCCATTTTAACACTGGTAGAAAAAAGATTATTTAACGAGACTGTTTAAGTTAAAAAAAACTCTACAGAAGCAAAAAAGACAAACAAGTATGCCAGCATATTTATGAGAAAGAATTTTTTTTTTGCAAAATTCAGCAAATTGTTACATGAAAGTTTAGATGTCATTCAAAATACATTAACTGAAAGGTAGCAATACAGATAACTGCTATGGTTTAACGCATGTGCACTTTTTGAGCCACCTACCCCAAGACTCCTCCAATAACACTGCCTCCAATCAGACCTCTCAAGCCCAAGTTCATTCTGAACAAGCTGCCGGTACAAGCTAGAAATAGAATACAATCAGACAAAGCAAGTTCAATCTCAGTACTCTAAGGTGCCTATTAAGTCATTTCTACTTCCTGCTTATACTCATCTAGTCTAGTGAAATGTAACTCCAAGGCTGTACACATCATACATTCAATGCCAAATATCTACTTTTTACTAATCAGGGCAACATCTTCTGCAACAAACACTAAAGGCACGGATAGTATGCACCCATACACATCTATAGGGCTGTATGTATATCTTTAAAAGTTTCTCTTTATCTCTCCCTCTCCTTGTGTGTGTGTGTGTGTGTGTCTGTCTATAGTTGGATATGTATGGAAGAAATATTAGAACGTTGGTGTATACATATGGATGTCCTATCTCAATATATTATTCAACAGTGCAGCCATTACTTAAAAAACTTAGAACATGGCTTTTCTACCAAGCTTCTTTTAAAAATCTGCACAAACGTTTATGTAGTAAAAATGATTACACTGTTTCTACGTTTTTTTCTGCTAATATTACTTCCCATATTACAACTACTAACTGTAAAAAGTTGTCCCCAACAGCATATTCAAGTGGAAACGGCTAGCAGATCTCATTTCGGTGAAAAAGAAAATAGCACTTCCCTCCAGATGTATATATGAAGCAGCAGATTCCAGGATCAATTTGATGCTTCATTCTGTGTTAGGAAAATTCTGGACTCAATAGGTACATAGCGGAAATAATAAACAAACCTAAATTTCAACTCAGTTCATTACTATAATTGGGCATTAAAGAAGGTAACTATAAGTGTTAGATTTTCTTTTTCAGAAACCTGAAAAAAAAAAAGAACAACAACCAAGGAAAGCTGTAATATCTCATGATATCTTCTGCTATACTGTGTATGTGCCTGTGTGGTACATACAACAATATGAAGGATTTATGGTTTTTCAGCATCCAGTATCCTTGAATATTGAAACTGAAAGTTGTAGTGAGTAATTTCAAAAATTTAAAGGTGTTCTCAGTAATATCTGGAAGCAATGTTACTTCAATTTACAAAGCAGCAAGTAAAAAAGTAAGAAAACACCATTCATTTCAGCATATAAATTATTACAGGATGCTTGCACAACTCAAGATGAAATAAAAGCAGATTATGGAGAAGGCCACAATAAAATATTTGATTTATCTTATTAGTTACCAGGTTTTTTTAGGAAACTTCAGTAGAACTTTGGCAGAGCCTTTCTATATCAAAGGGCTGCTGCAGTTTCCAAACAGCCAGTTTATACTCACAGAACATTTAGATCAAGATCTATGGGATATATATTTTTGAGTATCTGAATAACTCAAAATATAACACAGATCAAAAAATAACTCTGATGTTAATTTTCTCTTACCTCCAGCAATGGTATAGTGACCAAGGGTACTTTTATCACGATATACAGACAAGCCAGTATTCACTGTGCTGCAAGGAGGAGAGAAATAATATGCAAGAAAGAAGAAGAACTTTAGAAAAAAATTCTGAAAAGTCAAAACATTGGCTTGTTATTTTTCTGGCTAGGTATTTTTGTAATTTGCAAATAAAATACATATTTTCTTAAATGGTATGGTATGAAATATATAATTATATACTGTGTAATGTTTTACATAAGAGTTCACATATCAATAAAAAAATCTATTTCTCACTGAACATATTTATGGCTTGAAGCATAATTCACAAGATATAGTAACTGTATTTTTCATCTTCATGAATATCTACCCAGAGGGAAGTTCATATATAATGTAGATCTTATTTGCGATAATGAATGTGAAATTCTACTTTGTGGATATGGAGTAATTTAGCAAAATGAGATAAGAATATTAAAATTTAATAATGATGGTTTTATTGTTTAATAATGCATTGCATTTCTATTTTCAAGAAGAAACATTGGACTTAACATGATCATGTTTCAAAGAAATATTAGGTAGAAAAAAAAGTTAAATATTAACAAATCCTATTTCCAAAATTGTCAGTTCCTCCTGAATTCAATCTTGAAGACTCTTCGCCAGTTTGCACATCTGCCCCCTTCATTCTATTTGTGTGTATATGATACTTGTTATCTAAGGTCCTGACACGATTAATTGCTGAGCTGAACAGAACCTAAATAATGAGGCCACTTGCAAATAAGTATTTGCACTGGGAAGAAATCGGGCTATCTTCTAGGAAGCAAATGACTTAGGGCCAATTTGAAATGTAACCACTCTTTTTAGAAAGCTAACATTCTAGGACTGTGGAATCAGAAAACTGATTTGTACAAAGGATCTATAACAATGCCAGTCAGATCTCCAAGTGGTCTCTATATTCTCACAAAAGTAACACTTTTACAAATTTCTCTTGATTTTGACAATCTTCTTTTATTTTTTCTTGGAAGGAAACTATAAGATAATTCTTTTTGGAAGCAGAAGACATAACCAAGCCCTGACTTTTACTTAGTTTTTAGTCTATTTTAATTTTAATTTTCTCTATAGTATATTTGAGAATAGAAATACGCTACTGAGAAACTAATAGAGAATTAGAAATGCAGAAACAGTAGAAGAGACACAGTAAGCATTTTGCATCTAATATTCATAAATTACAATATTATCCTAGAATTATAGGCTATTGTTGAATTGTAGGATCATGTATCATGAACACAGCCTCCTGTTCTCCTCCCATAGATAACAAAAAGTACACTTACTTGAATATTGCCACAAAAGCAGCAACTCTCCAGCTCCACCGCCAACCATATCGAATGAATCCCCTGTTTGCTATACGTTGCATAGATTGCTTTGGAGAAAGTAAGCAAAAGTATATGATGTTAAGGCATTCTATATCCATTAGTAATGTGAACTCAAAGTACCGTGTTTCTCCAAAAACACAACCCACCCCAATAATAAGCCCAACCCTTATTTTTTAGAGGTGGGCCTAATATTACCCCCACCCCGAAAATAAGCCCGGGGAATGGCCGTGGCCAGCATGAGTAGCGGCGCGGGGAGGGAGAATTGTCCAGCTGCAGCTACAGCCCGCTGGCTCCTTGGGCAGTGCAAATACCGCTTTTGCCCTTCTCTTTTTGGGCATAGCGCTTCTGCTTGTTGGGCCGCTTCTCCTAAGTCAGCAGCTCTGCGGACAGCTGCTTTGCTTTTTCCCTCTTTTTGGGAGGTTCACAGAAGGCTTTTTGGCAAATGGGAGGAAAATGGGGAGGAGGATTTTCCTGCCTACCATCCTACCCTCAGTCTGTGCTGAGGTCAAAGAATGGATGACAGGCAGGAAAATCCCCCTCCCCATTTTCGCCAAAAAGCCTCCAGTCCAAACATTGAAGGTTCAGAATGGAGGCGATGGTGTGTCCAGCTCACTGAGTCTGGCCTGCTGCACCTCAAAAAAAGTAAGACCGCCTCAATAATAAGCCCAAGTGCTCATTTTCAAGCCTAAAAGAAAATAAGACTCGGTCTTATTTTCAGAGAAACATGGTAGAAACCACACAAAAGCTCTATAAATTCCATACACAACTTTCTGTTTTGTCTGTTTTGTAAAAGTAATGTATACCGTCCAAACTTCCATTACTGGAAGTTACATAATATTACATAAACCTGATCACTAAAAACAGTTTTACTGTTAATTGTAAACTGAATTTAACACCATAAATAAACTAAGGTGCAAATAATGTATATATTAAGGAATATTATATATCTATCTATCTCTATCTCTATCTCTATCTATCTATCTATCTATCTATATATGTTTTCTGAGGTTTTCGCGGGTGTTTGTATGTAGGTCTTTGGTTATTCAGGTTTTCTCCCGCGTAAAATTGGAAGTGTCTTGGCGACGTTTTGACGAAGTCTCATTCGTCATCTTCAGGCTGGTGTTTTCGGCTTCGTCCTTCTAGAGCACGAAGCCGAAAACACCAGTCTGAAGATGACGAATGAGACTTCGTCAAAACGTCGCCAAGACACTTCCAATTTTACGCGGGAGAAAACCCGAATAACCAAAGACACACACACACACACACACACACACACATATATGTATGTATGTGTATATTATATACACATACAAGAATGTATTCTTTTAATTCTTTTAATATGTGATTTGCAAATTTTCACTCAAAAATGTCAGTGAAAATATATTGCATAAAATGTCCCTGTGTAGTGCTTGATTTCTCATTTTTGTTTCTCATATACAAGGCAGCAAGTAACAAAAAAAGAAAGAAAACTATTTAAAGGATTACAGTTAAATGTCCGTTCTATTTTTGTCAAATATATGTGTCCATACCACAGCATCCAGCCGATTATGATAGAGTTGTCCTCCACATTGCTCAATGTACTGTTTTTTGGCATTTACATATCCAGGTACACCTCCATAGACAAAGCCAACAATACCGGCTGTAAATGTTGCTTTAACGATATAGATAGATTCTTCTGGGTATTCCTGTTGTTCACTGCAAACAAAAAAAATGTTTCAGGAAACGTATTCAGAAACTGTTTAATGAAATTATCCATGTCCTTTGGAATAATAACTGCAGAGCGAGGTTGGGGTCTGATTTCATTCTTGAATTATACACGTTCCCTGCCGCCGCCCACTGGCGCTCCAAGGCTAAGGCTCTTCTCGGCTATGCACTCACTTTCGCCGAAAGAGCTCTCGAAGTCGTTCCCAGCCCGCGTCCGGGGACTGCAGCGAAGGTGGCGAGCCCTCCAGCGATCCGAACAGTTCAGGGACCGGAGCGGCGTTTTCTTCACCCAACCCTGTCAGCGGCCATTCCGTCCTCTCCCCCGGCCGCTCCATATTTGCCGGCACTTGCCCGGGAAGTCTTGGCGAGAGTTTCCCTTCTTTTGACACCTCGAAAAGAAAAGAGCGCCGCTCTGTCGCCTTGGAGGACGTAGCGCACCCTCTTCGTACCCCGTAGGAGAACCGAAGCGTAGAAAAAGAACCGGCGCTGAAAAGCGGGCGGTATTTTTATTTTTAATCTTTAGAAATAGCATGGTTCCCGCACTGACTCTTTAAAAATCAACAACGATGAAAGTCCTTAGGTCCTCCTTTCTCTCTATTGCCTCCCCTCTCCCCTTTCTATCTGCCTGCGGTTAGAAATACGTCATTTTTTATCCTCGGTGCCATCTCCTTTATTCTTTTTAATCGGAAAAAAATAAAACAAAAATACCCTTTATTCTTCCTTTTCTCATCAGCCAGGTCTTTGTTCTTAGCCTTTCAAACTTTTTCTGTCCAACACCGAAACTCCCTCCTTGCATCTGTGATTTCCGTAATTACATCTGGTCCCACTTTTCAACTTTTGAGTTCTGGTTAAATTTGTGTTACTGGTTTGAGGCTGCATTTTCCACTCCCTCCACATCCTATCTCTGAGACGGGAATGCAGAACATCCTTCAAAAGGTTTTCTGCTTAATCAAGACTCAGTGGACAAAAATCTGTTGCTAACCAGTTTGTGAGCATTATATTGGAAAAGCTTAAAACATGTTTTGCCTCTTGATCCCACTCCAATATAGGTGAACAGCATGAGCTTTTCATCAGTACTGCATCCTTTAAAATGTGTTGCATCTATGGTTGCAAGGATGTTACTTAGTTTGGTAATGAAACATCTGCAGAGAAACAACCAAGATCACAGAGCACCAAGAACCCCCCCAGTTCAACCCTGCGCACTCCACTTGCCAGGGAACTGATAGCTCACCACTCTGAGAAGATTGCCTGTCCTATTTTAAATTAGTAAAATTTCTCCTAAATATAGTAGTGGTTGATTAATGCAGAAAATGTAACACAGATACCCAGAACTCATACAAGTTCAAAATGGAATAATTCTTTTGATTAATATACTTTCAACCATTAGCATAGTAATAGCCTGAAGCAACCTCTACATAAAGGTGGAAGATGAAAGCTGGAAAAGAAGTTTAGGCTGTGTGCAAACCACTGACTCAGCGTGAAAGTCATAGCATTTGAATCCCAATGAATAGTTCTTTAAGTGACATTTTAGGTTTGTTGTATTGTGTAGATTTAAATGGGACTCCCTTTTAGTTCTTTTAAACTCAGATCTGTTTTGTTATAAAATCTAACTAAAAGGATCCAAGATGGCATATGCATGAAATCTACCAAACATGAATGTGAAAGAGCTAAAACACTCAGAAAACACAAACCCATAGTGAAATAGATTAATTCTTTAATTTGAATTAGTCTTTTGGACATTCGTGATGTTGCAACCATTAATATGAAGAAAAGAGAATAAGAAGACTAGTACAGCCCAAGCCACTGTCCCCCATCTCAGAAAAAAAATAAACTTTTTGCAAAAGATGCTGTATTCTACATCTGGGATTCCAAGTAAAGTATCCCTACTGGCTAATATACTGCTCATTAATTATTATTTAATTAAAGCAGTAATTGATTAAACAGTATGTATGAAGAGAAACCTGAGACGTATTACAAATTGTTTAAATAGTAGGCCAGCCCTCCAGAGCTGGACAAAATAATCACAATTACAGGTAATCCTTGATTTACGACTACAATTAAACCCACAATTTTTGTTGTTATGCGAGACAGTTGTTAAGTAAGCTTTGACCCATTTTATGACCTTTCTTGCCACAGTTGTTAAATGAACCCCTATACTATTAAGCTAGTAACATGGTTGCTAAGTGAATCTGACTTCCCCATTGACTTTGCTTCTCAGAAAGTCTCAAAAGGTGATCATGTGACCCCTGGGACACTTCAATTGTGATTAATCAGTTGCTAAGCATCTGAATTTTGATCATGTGACCATGGAGATGCTGTAATGTGAAAAATGGTCATGTCACTTTTTTCAGTCCTGTTGAAGTGTCAGTAAATTAACTTTTATAAGGTGAGGGCTACCTGTATTTGATTACAAGCTTTCCAGAAATGTTCAGTAGCTTATTTTAGAATGATGGGCTTCCCGATGAATTAAACTGTATCAGAAATGTATTGGTACATTAGTCAAATGGAATTCAATGTTTCACAACAATTCAGGATGATTTCATTAATAGATTAATGATTCATTTAGCAATTATAACCCACAAAGTAGGATCAATATGACACTGTGGTAAGTAGAAATGAGTAACAATTATCAAGAAATTTTTAAAAATGCTAGGACTCAGCAAAATTTCCACCCTCTTCTTAACATAATTTTACTGACCACAATATAAAATAAAATTCACAGTCTGCCATTATCATTTCATACACTGCAGTAAGTAGCAACAATATCCTTCTCTCTTTAGTTTGTCAACACGCAGAAAGAACTTCCACTGGTTAGAGGAACAATCCTCCTTTCCTGATTTCAAAATGTCCATAAGCCCTGATTTTTTTTACAGTTCAGTTTTCAAAGGTCTGGGCAGTATCTCATTATAGTTGCTCTTCCGTTTTACTTTATAAGTCAAGGCTTTAGAATACTCCTTTAGAAGTTGTTCCCAGTAACAAGAGATGTCCTCCATTTGCAAGTGGTCCATGATGAACTGGCGACCCCTAGGGACCAAACAATCAAGCAAAGAAATCAATTGTTTTTCTAATTCAAAACTCAATTTTGAATTCTAATTCGAAAGTCAATACAGTCAATTGCTTTTTTTAATTTAAAAGCTTAAATATACATCTGGGCTATAAAAAAGAAAGCAGCTTAGCAGTCATTATGCCTATCCAGGAATCTGTAATTGTATGACTTATTCCTAAAATTTAAACAAAGCCAGACTTATACATATAACTTGACTTGATGTAGTGTTGAAAGTGTCACCTGCTGTAAAGAAAACAACAAACCTCTTCCAATTGTGGAAGTAAACATTAATGATGTATAATTATCAGTATTAAAACTGAGTAACATTTAAAGGTCTTCCTCCTGCAAGACATAAACACATCCTAGCAATTATTTATAAATGTAGATGCAATGCAAATAAGATAAGAGATAAGTTAACCTTTATTGTCATTTTTTTCTGTGGGCACTCTGGCACATATTAAAAATGAAATTCTGTTGCCTGCTCTCAAAAGTGTACACATACATAACCCAGAGATATGCTATATACATACATACTGTATGTATATGTCTACACCCTAACATATAAATATTAATCACTGTCCATCTTGAATATATAGTGAAGGAAGCTTGAGCGTTCACAAGGTTGATGCTGTGTGGAACAAAACAGTGGCTGAATCTGGATGTTCTGCTTCGAATACCACGAGGCCTCCTCCCAGAAGGTAAGAAGGAAAACAGCTCGTGAAGAGGATGTGTAGTGTCCCAGACAATCCTGCGGACCCTGCTCAAGCAACGCTTATATGCTATATCCTGGATAGAATGGAGTGAACTGCCAATAATCTTTTCTGCCATCCCCACCACTCTCTGCACCGCCTTCCTGTCTGAAGCAGTATTGCAGATAGTCCTCAAGTTACGTTAATTGGAACCAGAATTTCTGTCGCTAAGTGATGTGGTCATAAAGGGTGACATCAAATGTACACATCGCTTAGCTCCCCATTGCCATTGTTAACAAAATTCCTCAGGTTGTTAGGCAAGGACACACTCCACACTCAAATCCAAGTCATTCTGGGCTTGGTCACTCTTAGGCCTGAGCCTCAGTTCTTCCAAAGTAAGAAACTGCCTCTCCTTCAACTTCCCCCAACTGCCTATTCCCTACCACCTCTGCCCTTTTTGTCACCTTACACTTTGCCTTACAAGGTGGCAATCATCTCCAGCCTCTCCCATCAGTGCAGCGCAAAGCTGAAACTACCCCATAAGCTTCAGCCAATCCAGTCCTTGTCAACATGCACTGAGGTCTCTACTGTCTTGCGCTCTGCTGACCTAGCTGACCTTCACCATCTTCTTGTTCCTGCTGCTGACAGAGAGTTCTTGCCCTATACCTTATGAGGCAGCTGCTGGCTACAGAAGGCCATTTTCCCCTGGTCTCTGGAAGAAATGCATGATGTGGGACCTGGGAAAGAAAGTCTTGTGCAGCCAGCAACTGCTTTGTGAAGGGGCATGCTTCATCAATAGCAGGAGCAAGAAAACAGTGGATGTCAGCTAGGGTGGCAATGACTGTGAAATACAAGGGGCCAAAAGGATAGATGGAGGAAGACAGGCTGGTGGGGAACAAAGCGCCCCTGCACATATAAGTGCAAGCAGACTGCATAGCACCTGAATTTTAATCATGTGATCGTAAGGGGGCTACAAAGGCCATAACTTTGGGGATTGGTCATAAGTCCTTTTCTTCAGTATCACCATAAATTTGAACTGTTACAGAACAAATTAATATTAAAGGAGGACTATCTGTAGAAGGGATGCGGTGGCTCAGTGGCTAAGATGCTGAGCTTGTCGATCGAAAGATTGGCAGTTCAGCGGTTCAAATCCCTAGTGCCCCGTAATGGGGTGAGCTCCCGTTATTTGTCCCAGCTTCTGCCAACCTAGCAGTTCAAAAGTACGTAAAAAACGCAAGTAGAAAAACAGGGACCACCTTTGGTGGGAAGGTAACAGCGTTCCGTGCACCTTTGGCATTGAGTCATACCGGCCACATGACCACGGAGATGTCTTCCAACAGCGCTGGCTCTTCGGCTTTGAAACGGAGATGAACACCGCCCCCTAGAGTCGGGAACGACTAGCACATATGTGCAAGGGGAACCTTTACCTGTAGATATTTTTTGATTTTTAAACAAATCACAAAACATAATCTTGGGAAAGTCTTACGGACTTCATGATCAAATCTATTTTATACCAAGGAATTCTTACAATTAAAGCATAGCAGTAATAAGAGCTTACCTCTCAGAAATTCTTTGAGCAACATCATCATTTTCTCTTACAAATTCCAATAGCTCTCTGAAACACGTTTGGATAAAAATCAGAAAATATTAGTGTCTTAAGATTGACTTTAGGCAGAATAAATATGAGCAAACTCAGTAAGGGAACTCTGTTATGGTTAATTGGTTGGGTTGGGTTTGCTTTTTTTCAACTTGCTAGTTATGTGTTTGTTCATTTGTTGGAGTTTTAATTCAATAGAACTCTAAACCTTCCTTCAGCAAAAGCATTAAGATACAACAATAAAAATACAATAAAATACAATATAAAAATAATGCAATAAATAAATTAAATAATCAAATAATTGAGTTAGTAAAAAAGAAATTAATAAAAATAAATTGTACAATACAGAAATAAAATAAAGGAGAAAAAGGAAGCAAAACTATATAAATATGTGTATTATACATGTGTAAGACATGTATATGGGTAAACACACAAGCATACACACACACAATTTCAGTGAAAGATAGTATTTCATTACAATCATCCATACATATTCTATGTTTATAAACAATTCATTGATAAGTCACAAGTAACATCAGCTCATCAATCCACTGAGCAATTGGAACCATAAATTTATCATTCCAATTTGAAAGTTGGAGTCATGTAGAATTGGGCAGTTATGAAAATCAACTATCAAGCAACTAAATAAATGTATTAGCAGTAATAAGGCAGCAGAGAATCCAGTTTTGTTGTCTAGCCATAATTTCCAAGCAGTATGTATTTAATTTAAAAATATGTATAAAAGTATTAGATCTTGTCTTATTTTTTTAATTATTGTATAGTATAATGCATAATTTTCCCAGAGTACAATAGCAATAGCACTTAGACTTATATACTGCTTCACAGTGCTTTACTCTCTAAGCGATTTACAGAACCAGCATATTGCCCCAACAATCTGGGCGCTCATTTTACCAACCTTGAAAGGATGGAAGGCTGAGTCAACCTTGAGCTGTTAAAGACTCGAACTGCCAAACTTCAGGCAGCTGGCAATCAGTAGAAGTAGCCTGGAGTACTGCATTCTAACCACTGCACCGCCACAATCAATTAAGGGTACGTAAAAACATATTTTAATAGCTGTATTCCCAATTGATCGCCACCAAAAATATGATGTCCTCATTTCTTTCCTATGCAACAAAATAAGTCTGAAATAGTGCTTTTTTATTAAGCCATAGTTTTATTACACATTCTTAAATTAACCCAATATCAAAAATTATCAAAATTTCATATGGACATTAAGACAGTTTCTCATTATTTAAACACAGAAATTGTCAATTCTTTATTCCAATCGGTTTTTAAAATATGCCAGTCAAAATTATTTATCAATAACAAGGTTTATGCAGATTAACTATGGGCTTTTCTGTCTCATAATATTTAGTGATTACTTCTAATAATTTAGGTGTGCCTGAAGCTGAAAATGCTAATGCTCAGATCAAGATCTCAAAACATTCACCAATGCTTTTTCATTTACCTGGGAGATATAAAAGATATTGTTTATGATGGCAATTGAGATCGAAATTGATTGATATATTTTATACATACACATACAGGCAATATTTAAAAACTGCCCATATGTCTCAGAGAATGACTCTGGGTAACATACAAATAGAAACTTGAAATTATACATAAATATTATAATAAATTAAATTAAAAATAGGAATAAAATAGGCCAATAATAGGCATCACTATACAACAAGGTCATAATGTGCAATGTCATGTGACTGTGCAGTTTAGTGACTGGTTCTGGCCATCCTGGGTGCTATTGTTAAGCAAGAACTGTGAAGGTGAGGTTGTTAAGCAAGGACCTCACAATTTTTGACTTCCTGCCAGCATCCCCACTGACTTTGCTTGTGGGAAGCTGGCAGGGAACAATGGAAGTTATGACTGGGGCTTGCTAAAATCTTGTCATTCTGAGCAGGATGCTGACTGCCCAGATCACAATCACATAATCATGGAGATGTCACGATGTCTAGAATTCCAAGGACCACTTGAAACTACCACTTATTCAGTGTTGTTGTAAGTTTAAACGGTTGCTGAACAAGTTGGTTGTTAATCGAGACCACCTTTAACTGGAAATCCCTTTTATGACAACTAAATGTCTATTCTATAAAAATAGATTTCATCTAGTCTCAATCATATAAAAACCAGTTTAATCCAAGCTGTGAAATGCATTCTGTATGAATCTACCTTTGAAGGTAACCCATGTATTTTAATTCAGTTATCTCTGCCTCATTATTGATGATTTTGTCAAATATGATACATAATCCTAGTTTTGTATTATCATATTTTACATAAAAGCTATTAATACACACAAATAATTAAGCCACTGCAGTTTTAATATCTCACCTCACATTAGAAAGATCGGACTGAACTGGGATATAGTGAACCCAGGGTTTCAGTTGTGGATAGAAGAATTCTTGCCAGTCTTCTCCAACATGAAAGACCAAAGAACCACACAGGAAAAGGTGTTTGAAGCGAAAACTGGCTGCAACTCCTCGAAAATTGAAGAGGTATCTTATGTTTAAAAAAAAAAACTGCCTTAAATACGGCTCTTCTCCAATAATGAGCATATTTATATTTACAGTACAGAAAGATACATTTATTTTACTCTTCTACAAAGTGAAAGTTTATAGTATAATCTTAATGCTATACGATAAAAATATTCCATTCAAATATTGCCACAAAGAGGCTAAAACTAGAAACAGTAAATCCAAAGTTTAGGAGTCTAAATTGTTGCATCTTCTGCACCCTTCTATCTGCTTTTAATCCTTGGTCCTATTGAGTCCATATAAATACATTAACACACCATAAAGCATATATGTATATTTCAGCTAAAATGTTCACCAACATCTTAATAACCACAGTGGAGCTAAAAGAAATAGAGACTGCTTTCTGCCAGTACAAAAAAAAAGGAACAGTCTCCAAATGAAAGAATTTCCAATTTCTATTCTTAGCAATGTTTTGCTCTTTTCAAGAGATGCCAAGTCATTTAAAATACCAGCTTCTCAGTAGCATCATTTTATCATCTAAACATAACTGAAAATTATTGCTATACAACTCCAGGGGCCTGAGATCACAAACTCCTTTGGTTCTGGGTATCACAGCAACTACAGATAACCTAAGGAATTTAATCATATCAATTACTTATTAATGTTGAATGGCACACAGGAGATACAGAGTCTTAAGAGATTCCTGGAACGCATTTCTTGAATTACAGTAACCCAGCTGTAAATCGTGGATGACGGAAATTCATAGCACTATAATTCAAATACCAAGTAGAATATTTAGAAAAATGAAATCTGCATAGTACCTGGGTACCTACGAGACCGTCTTTTGCCACCAATAGCCTCCCACTGACCAGTTTGTTCTCACAGGGAGGGACTACTCAGGGTACCGTCAGTCAAATTATGTCGACTGGCGACTTCCAGGGAGAGGGCCTTCTCTGTGGGGGCTCCAACCCTTTGGAATGAATTGCCCCCGGAGATACGGAATATCCCTGATCTCCGTGCTTTCCGCCGTGCCCTCACGACCCTAATGTTCCAACAAACGGGGCTAAACATACGAACATGTGAATGATTTTTTAAATGTTATCTAATTCTGGGTTTTATTTAATTGACCAAACTAAGTAATAATTTTAATTAGCAATTTTATGATGTTTGTGTGTCTATATTTTTCTTGACTGTACACCACCTTGAGTCCTACGGGAGAAAGGCGGTATAGAAATATAATAAATAAATAAATAAATAAATAAATAAATAAATAAATAAATAAATAAATAAATAAATAAATAAATAAATAAATAAATAAATAAATAAATAGTACCAATAGCATTTATATGTTCCTAACTTATAAAAAAAATTAGGACACAACTAATTGTCCAGCTTTCACCATGAAGTTCAAGCTAAAGCAAACAGTTAAAATAGCACTAGCAGCTAAGGGTTATTGGATGGGAATCCTGGCCCTCAATGCCAATGTAAAAGTTAGGTCATCTGAGTTTAAGGCTAGTGACACAGGCACCAATGAATTCTGTGACAATTCCATTGCTTTCACTGAACTGACATGCATTCAGATATTTACCAAGATTGAATCAAATACTTACTTGAATTTACAATGATCTACCAGTGGAACTTCTGTTGCAGGTGGTCTCCCAAGGGTATCCTTTAAAAAAAGTTAAAAAAAAAAAGAATATGTTTCTAATCACCTTCCTAAAAACTATAATGGAAATGTTATACCAAAAGATGCAGTAATACACATTTTCCTAATTTTTTTCAATAGAATATATGATTAAAGTTGTTACTGTAAGCCAGAAAATCTAAGGACTAACTAGCTAAATATTCAGTTCATTAATTTTCTTAGAGTGAAGCCATACACAAGTTTTCTTATAATGTTCATTGATTTTTTTTCTTCTAAATAAACATTCATTCACACACACAAATGCTGTGTAGTACTTTTATTTCACATATGCAACAAGCTGTGGTTTTCTTTAATCCATTTTCCTGTCTTGCACTGATTAGAACTGCCATATTTAATATAAGTTGTTTATTTATTCAATTTATATGCTAATCCATTTTTGTAGACTCTTGAGCAGCTAGTCAGACATGCCCCAAGATGTCTCATCACTTTCCATATAAATAACTGCAGCTGTGAACTGTTATTTTCAATACAGAATGTTTCAAAATACAGAAATAATTATAAATCCTTAAGGTTTTTAAACTATGCAGATCTCATATTGACCTAAATGTTAATGCCAATACTGGACATCTTTCTTTTATATGACGAGATCAGTGGTGGGTTGCCCCCAGTTTGGACCGGTTCGCAAGAAGCGGTAGTAAAACCAGTGGGAGATCCCGCCCACTGCCCCAGATGTCATCATCGGCGATCTGCGCATGTGTAATCCCATTGTGAACTGGTAGTAAAGCTAAGTAGAACCCACTCCTGGACAAGATCCAATACCAACACATTAGTAGAAACTTGAGAATAAACTGAGAATTTTATATAGGTGCCAAAATGCATCTTCAAAAATGGCTTTGGCTTATCTGCAGATTGACTTATCCACAAATATAAACAGTAATAATTTTTTTAAGTACCCATATTTGCTAAATATATTCATATATAAGCCCATCCATGACCATGAATCAGCAGATTGATGGATTTTGATTAAAAACTTTGATTAAAAATACCATAAAATGTGGATTAATATATATCGACGAGCAGCACATTTTTCATGGCATTTTAGTTTAAAAAATTGAGGGTTGGCTTATACATAGATGGGCTTATAGGTGAATGTATACATTACAATAGTTCCAAATCAGCTTCAAGGATTAGATAAAAATAGCAGGTGCCAATATATTCAGAATATAGTATTCATTTCTTCCTCACCATCCCCTAGCTTCTGCTATGTGTATCTGTAAAAATACATTTTATAGACTGGAAATTGTGAGGCAAGACCCTCAAAACCTTACTAGATTTAAAATAATTTTTGTGGGCTAGGAGATGGAAACATGTCACTGAATGAGATCACCTGACAGTACTGGAACCTTAAAAGACTGCTGCCCTATGTTACATTATTTTGTATACGTAATAGGCACTACTATAATTAGACATTAAATTCCATGACTATGAAATAAGCATGCACAGTAGAACATACTAGGAAAATAAGTTCTTGTTTGCACAAATCAGACAGATACTGTAATTATTGTTATTTAATTTACCCCCTGTGGTGCCAAATCAGGCATCCTGATGTTGGAAAAAAGAGACTAAAGGTCAATCAGCAAGAGATTAAAAAAATGTGAAATAATCTTTTTGATATATCTTTAGCGCCAACATATGCCTAGACCAGTGATGGCTAACCTTTTTGCCATCACGTGCCAAAAGTGGGGGAGTGTGGGGTGGTCGTCCACACCCATAATTCTATGCACCCTCCCCCCACGCAAGCACGCGTGATCCCCCCATGGTCCTATTTTTGGCATGTGATGGCACGATGGGCCCGGTGGGCCCGTTTTTCACCCTCCCCAGGCTCCAGAGGCTTTCTAGGAGCCTGGGGAGGGCAAAAACAGCCTTCCCCATCCCCCCGGAGGCCCTCCAGACGCCAGAAACAGCCCATTTGCTGACTTCCGGTGGGCCCAGTAGGCCCAAAAATCAGCTGGCCAGCGTGCACATGCGTGCTGGAGCTGAGCTAGGGCAACACTCGCATGCCCACCAATATGGCTCCGCGTGCCACCTGTGGCACGCGTGCCATAGGTTCGCCATCACAGGCCTAGACTGTATGAATATACTATGCTCATAGCAAACTCTTACAACAATGCATACCCTTTGTCATATTCACAATAAAGTCTTATTTTAAAACTTCTTTACAAAACTTCCTTTAAGGGTTACTTCTTGCAAGTAGGATTTGAAATCAGTCCACAAGCAATTCAAACACACTGGGCATGTGTATGCTGGACTGATAAAATCCAGGATGGTATTTGGGTTAGCATGATGTAGGTGTATTGCTAACATTAGGGTTTCAGATATTTTCAGGGTCATTCCCATATACCATCATAACAAGCCCTGTGTTCCATAGCAATAGCTTATATCTTATATACCAATATATAAGTATAAAACTCATATAACTGCTTCACAAGTATACAACTTATATACCGCTTTACAGCCCTCTCTAAGTGGTTTATAGAATCAGTATCTTGCTCCCAACAATCTGGGTCCTCATTTTGCTGACCTCAGAAACTTAGAAGGCTGAGTCAATCTTGAGCCACTCAGAATCAAACTCCTGGAGTGAGCGGTGAGTTTGCCTGCAGTACTGCATTCTAACCACTGTGCCACCACGACTCTTATAATCACAATAATTGCTCAGCTTAATCAACTTTACAGTGGCTGCTGGAATAATTAGATTGTGATACAATTTATTGATTTACTTATTTATTTACTGAAGCTTATATACTACCCTAATCAAAAAGGACTCTGAACAGCTTACATTCCCCCTTTGTTTGGGAAAAAAGTATAATACAAACAAAGAAACAACTGACAGCAGAACAAAAAAAAATCATTAAAAACATGTACCCTACTATACATGTATCAAGAACATAATGATGTATTTAAAGGAGCTTTTACATTTAAATATAAAATTAGTTGTATATTAAAATAAATGGTACAAGTCCAGTGGCAGTTACACCAGTTTGATAGTAAAGGGATCGAGTACAGTAAAATAACAGCTAATTTTCAATCTGTCAAAAATATATTCATTCCTTTGAAATAGAAAAACTTGAAATACTAATGATTGTCAATATTTGAAACTTCATCTGACTTCATAATGGATTATTTTATTGTTCCTTACAACAGAAAGGAAAAAAGTAATAATAGCATTAATACTAATAGTAATAATAACATTTGAATAGTATTCAACGGTATTTACTTTTTCAGATTTCCAAGCTTGGTTCTTAGTGTACTCTGCATCAACAAGATCTGGATTCTCTCGAGAAAGAAGAATGAGGGGATCCCGTTCTGCACTTGTCCTACCACAGAAATCACATAGAACTGTGAGATTGGCTTTTTTCCAATTTGGCACTTTTCAAATAAGTTGGTCAATAAATCATATCATTCTATAGTGAGCAAGTGAAAATTATAACTAGCATCCACTGGTTTTCTGGGACTCTCCTTGGAGAGATCAGAATGTCAAAAACCTTTTATTTGATTACTATTAATGTGTCTCTCCACATATGGAGGTCTGTGGAAGCCTACTATTAGTTGGCTTCCAAATACTCTTGGCATGGTATTATGTAGTAAAAGCATTCCTGAACATAGCAGTAGCAAAAGCACTGGTGCCAAGAAAATAACAGAGATAAATCCACATATTCCCCAGGAACTCAAGGAAAACATTACCTTTAAATACATATATTTCAGTTGGACCAATTTAATTTCCCTGAGTAGTGCAGTACAACAGAATAATTATTAACAAGATTAGGACTATCAAAGTACTTGAAAGCTAAAAAATGCTCACCTGGATCCTCGAAAATAGGCTTTGGAAATTTTCTTCTTCCAGGGCCATTTTTCTGCTGAGCTAAGAATATTTTGATAAATACACCATATTAAAATACTGACATTAATAGTAATTAAAAATGGTATGCTTGTTTTTATTCATTTACTTGATTCTCTTGATCTAGTTTCAGGACTTCTGTGGTGAACAAATCCTACTTTAGTTTATATTTATGCAGTAATATTGAAAATTAAAAAGGGCTCACAAATGTTTAAACACCGTTGTACTTCTGATATTGTGTTTCTGTTTACTTGAAGCTCATGGGTGGAGACTAAATAAGATGGCAAAAAGAGAAAGAGGAGGTTGCTGCATTCGGTCCCAGAATTATTCCCAACAGCATCTACCAAGGAAATGCTATCCACCAAATCAAAACAGATCTTCATTTTAAAATCTCTGCATGTGAATTTCCTGCTGACTTTCTAAAGTTAGCTTTTTTCTCCCCATGGAGAAAAATCTGCAAGGATTTTTGTCAATCTGAAGCACAATTGTATCATTTTAGATGAATTTAACCAACATGCATTTCTTTGGAATTATACAGTCTATAACTAAATGCCTGCAGCTTTCATTTAACAAAGTATAAGTTATTGCTCAATGAAAACTCTTCAGAATGAGGAAATGGTACACAGGGCCCTATTACAATGCAAATTTGGATTCTCTTATTTTTTAAAAAAAAAAATACAACAAAACTACTATCTCCTCAGATTACCTTTGGAGGTTTTCTCTCATTAGGTCCCAACGCCCAAGGCCTGTAGGATATATTGGCCAAACAGCTGGTCCCCCTTCCCAAAATGTCCAGGCAGGGTACATAATATCATAGTATTCTGTAGTCTTTCAAGAGAAAAAGGTGAGCAAAGCATGTTAGTTATACCAAAATGTTTCATTCATACAAGAGATTCAATGAAATATGGTATTTGTCCTATCTAATGTGACTGATAGGTAATAGCTCTCTGTTCACTCACCTTGCTAAAAGATAAAACAGGCACTCTTGGTTTCATAAATTTGGCTACCTGAGGGTAGTCCCGCACATTGATGACCATCTCCATATCAGGAAGGTTCTGAATAATTTCCAGGATGAAGTGCTCAACCCCACTACATCTGTAGGCAATCAAATATCAAAATTTATTTTTATTTTATTTATTTATTTTTATTTGATTTATATGCCGCCCTTCTCCGGAGACTCAGGGCGGCTTACAATGCGTTAAGCAATAGCCTTAATACTTTTTTATATTTATACAAAGTCAGCGTATTGCCCCCCCACAATCTGGGTCCTCAATTTACCTACCTTAGAAAGGATGGAAGGCTGAGTCAACCTTGAGCCTAGCGAGATTCGAACCTGCAGTAATTGCAGGCAGCTGGTCTTAATAACAGGGTGCTTTAGACCACTGTACTACCAAGGCTCTAAAAGGGTATCTATGAGTAGAATACACTGGCTATGTTCACCTATCATACTAAGCCATGGATTATTTCAACCAGTTTTTTTTAAAAAAAAAAAATACAAAGTCAACCTCACAGATGATCAAAGCAAGCAAAGCAGTTCACTTGGACAGTTCTTTTTTTCCTTTCCTATTTAAAATGTTCTTGCTGAAAGAAGTTTGGACAGAGGATCAAAACAAGCCCAGAATAAGCCAGGAAGGCCACAGTCCAGAGCAAGAATGTAACATGAGTAAATTTCTCAGACAAGTCTCTCCCCAGTTCACACAAGGATAAAGGGGGCCAGGGGAGGGGAAAATCACAGACTAACATCAGTCTACCCTCTTTCCCCCAAAATAAGACATCCCCTGATAATAAGCTCAATTCAGGCTTTTGAGCACATGGCAATAAGGCCAAGCACTTATTTCAGGGTTCAAAAAAATATAAAACAGGGTCTTAGTTTTGGGGAAACATGGTATTATTATAGTTTTACAATAAAGATAGTACTGACCTATAAGGCATAGGTTTCTTAGTCTGATCTACCTTGAGAGGCTGACACTAGGTCAACAAAGTAGAGTTCCAGTCTTTCTGGTGGTGCTGTCTCCTGATTTGGCCTACCTCCAAGAGTTGATAGAGGTAAACAAATGGTGCCCAATTTATTCATGCTGCTTTTATGTCATTTTAATTAACTTGAATCTAAGCAAATTAGATTACATTTTTGTTTTATTTTCGTTGAATAGTTGTTAACATTTGAGTAAACATTTACTCAATAGCATACATCCACAATGCTTGTAAACAAAAGGAAAAAAATTCAAAAGGAGAAAAATTTATCAATTTTCTTAAAATGTGTATAATTAAAAAGATCTTTTTTAAAAAACATTATTTTCAGAATGTGGAATTGTTCCCATGCATACAATGCACATACTAGTCTAATCAGTGTCAAATACTAGTAATATAAATTTTCCCACTAAAGCTCTTGCATAAAAGCTAAAGTGAATCTACCTGATTTCTATGCCTCCCATTTCTTTTCCTTTACAGCTTTACTAAAATCACTATCTCATCACTTCCTTTAAAGCTAAAGGAAGTATATATTTCTTAATTGCAATAATAGCCTATCAATTTTTGGCATTTCCCCCTTTGGTTGTTCTAAATAGTTATCTCTTGTATTTTCAAAAGTGCTAGAATTCTAAAATTCTAATCTCCTTATTAGAAAATAATGGTTAAAACTGTTACCAGAAAAATAGCTGATTGTTGTTCTATTTATTCTTTATTGAGAGGCTCTATGTTATTATAAAAATATTTCTTCTTTAAAGATTACTTCTCAGAGGGTTTTTTTTTTTTTTGGGTAACATTAACCATATCACCATCATATAACAATGGGGGCCACAGCCTGGTACTGGGTCATGGTTTGTTGGGAACGGGTGAGCGTGTGAAGCTCCATTTATGCAAACGGTGGCCATGGGTGAAACCATTCCCCCCCCCCCCCGCTGTCCACAGAACTGGAAAGGTTGGGGACCATTGATCTAAAACACATAACACACTCAACTTGCAGTCCTAAATAATATTTCAAAGAGTCAAAATTTCAACGTTTTGTTAAATGTCAAAAGAAGTACAGACCTCTTATCCTATGGTTGGATGTTCCATAAGAGGCAAAATGGTTCATCAAAAGTAAGATGAAGCCAAAGTGGTTAAAAGAAAATGTTAAAATGGGCTCAATAACCAGATTGAGATTGGATAAAAATTACACCATTCCAGTGACAGGAATAGGATGGAAACATTGCAGAGATCAGAATCTGGGCTGAGCAGGAAAAAACAAACAAGGAAGCACCATACCATTAACTGACAGTATAAAGAGTGCTTTTTGTTTTACTCCCATCATAAAGCACATAAAATAAAGCCAAAGGCCTCTGCCTGACAATCCAGCAACTGTAAATAATAATACTTTACAATTATCCTTTTCCCTCAGAGGTATTTATTCCTGATTTCTTTTAGCTTTTAACCCGTATCATCTCCTTGCACAACTAAAGTGCAGTGTCAATATTGATTTCTCACAAAAGCAAATCCAATTCCTACGTTTCAAGCAAGGCAATACAAAATTGGTTAGTTCCTTTACATTAGAGTTCAGCCCTTTCAAACACTTTCTGCTCAATGACCCATAAATTAATGGGGCAAGGGGATTTTCCTGTGTTTCTCTCATTCTCTTTTTGAGTTTGTGATTGACAGATTTCATATCTTACCTTGCAGGGAACATGCAATCGTGTTCCCGGTATAACTTCTTCTCAATGATCTGATAGTGTGTCCCAAGCTTTCGACTGATTGCTTCCGACAGCAACTCCTCAGAGATTCCATCTCGAAAAGGAGCCAAGTCTTGTTCCCTAACTCTAAAGTGAAAGAGATTGTTAAATATTGTTAACATACTAGAGGTTAGTTTATTAACAGTTAACAAGAAGGTTAGGAATACAGTTTTGCTTGGCGAAGATTCAGTGCAGATTTGGAATCAGCTCCACTAATGGGCAACGTGAAGTAGCAAATGAGGCAGAGAAGGTTCAGTGGTACTTCCAGCTACCTCCAGTCATCTCCCCAACGACTTCCATTCTCCAGAGCCTTTGTCTTGGTGGCTGTTTCTATAATGTTCGTCTGCTGAATATAGTTCTTTAACTTTGTCGTGGATAGATAGCACTGTTGGGAACAATCCAACTGGATGAGAATGCAGAAAGGCAGGTCGGCCATGCCATATATTTTCATGAGTTGTAAAATATTGAATCTTTTTAGGATGATCAGTAATCAAGCTGCACTTATGTATGACATGAGCTTCAATTAAATGCTAGTATAGATCAAGAGATTTAGGTTAAACAAACAACATACAGAGCAGTCTCCATGGTAAACCACCATTCTGTTTCTGCTGGAAAATTCTTTTCTTAAACTTTAGTTTTTATGACCGGTGGCCCCTCCTTTAGTAGCAAATACTTCAACCAATTTTCTTCTTGCACCTGTTCATTATTCTTACAGGTTAGCCTGGCATTACTTAAGCCCATTCCTATTCATGAAACTGCTTTAACTCATTAATATTTGAGGAAGACATTCTATAGTTGCATATTTCAGATCATGCCAAAATATCTTAATTGGGTTAAGGACTGGTGTCGGCTCCAAAATTTCTTCTACTTCAGCCCTTATATTGTAGACTTAGTAACCAAGATAAACATGGTATAAAGAAACTTTCAATGATTCTTTGATTTTGCTTAATATTAACTGAACCAGAGAAATTTGCTAGTTTAATAAAATCCTGGCTTAGCACAACTAAGCGCTTTTCATCCTATATGAGCAGTGGCTGGGACCCATTGATCCCTTGAGGCCCACTTAAATTTATTTATTTTACTGCTGTTCTATTTTGCTCTCTTTCTATTCATTCTAAAATGTTTTTGTACTGACCTATTTTTTAAAAAATGTTTCCATTATGAAATTGTATTGAATTCTCTTTTATAGCAAAATGCTGTAAATAATATGTACAGTTGATGTTTTTAAATATGTTTTTATGCTTTTTAGAGAACCTCTTTGGGATAGTTTATAGAAAATGGTTTAAAATTAAAGCAATTATGTACTCCAATCTTAAAATAACTTACCAAGGTGTAATTAATAAAGGTATAATTACCTTTAAGGAAAAGGTATTCAAAATGAGGATGGTAGAAGAGATTATTATAAGAAAGTGCAATTTTAATTTATCTGAGTGAGTTTTAAAATAAATTAAAAATTTGCAATAAATACAAAGAAAATATTTATTTTATTCTGTTATTATTGAATATACACCTCAATTTTCTGTTTATTCCAATAAGTAACTTTAACCAATAAAATACAAAATATAAAAATATACAATTACAGTAAAAGTTAAATAAGTAATTAACAATTAAAAGCTTGGAAAAGAAATGATTATTGTCAGTATATAAGGGTTCATGAATTGGAATAGATATGGTAACAGGTCAGCCAATGGGGACTGTTTGGTGACCCAGATGGCTCGGAACCTGGGCGTGGTTTAGGTTCACTGATCTGTATATATATGAGTCCTTATGTCATTCTATAGCCTCTGTATTATATAGCTTCTGTGATTATTGATTCTGTACTTCTGGATTCTGAGTTCTGGTTCTGGCTTCTGCTGTATGGTATTGTATATAAAGAATTTTCTTATATAAATGAATCCTTTTGAATTGTTTACTTGTGTGCTGGTTGGATTGCTGCAAACTCTAACAATTATCTTATCTTAAATACTAGACATATCTGGGCCCTGGGGAAGCCCTAGGGGTCTATTGTTTCAAGAGTATATTTTACTTGTTTAGAATCACATATATTAATAAACTCCAAAAAGTGTCAGGATCTTGACCCTCTGCATAGCAAGGGGAGATATGATTACCTCAGGGTGGCACGACTATAGTAAAGGTAAAGGTTCCCCTCGCACATAAGTGCTAGTCGTTCCCGACTCTAGGGGGTGGTGCTCATCTCCATTTCAAAGCCAAAGAGCCAGCGCTGTCCAAAAACTTCTCCATGCTCATGTGACCGGCATGACTCAACGGCAAAGGTGCACGGAACACTGTTACCTTCCCACCAAAGGTGGTCCCTATTTTTCTATTTGCATTTTTACGTGCTTTCGAACTGCTAGAATGGCAGAACAAGTAACTGGGACAAGTAACGGGAGCTCACCCGTTACGCAGCACTAGGGATTCGAACTGCTGAACTACCAACCTTTCGAACAAGCTCAGCATCTTAGCCACTGAGCCACCACGTCCCCTAGCACAACTATGGTAAGCTTCTGCAAATATGGTTTTTGAAAATGGTTTCTTGAAAGAATGATTATGTTGCAGAAAATAGCAACAAAGTTGATTAGGGGACTGGAGGCTAAAACATTAAAACTAAAACAGTTGCTGGAATTGGGTATGTCTAATTTAATGAAAAGAAGGACTAGGGGTGACATGATAGCCATATTTCAATATCTAAAGGATTGCCACAAAGAGCGAGTCAACCTATTCTCCAAAGCACCTGAAGGCAGGACAAGAAGCAATAGGTGGAAACTAATCAAGGAGAGAAACTACCTAGAACTAAGAAGAAATTTCCTGACAGAACAATTAATCAGTGGAACAATTTGCCTCCAGTAGTTGTGAATGCTCCAACACTGGAAGTTTTTAAGAAGAGATTGGACAACCATTTATCTGAAATGATGTAGGGTTTCCTGTCTTAGTAGGGGATGGACTAGAAGACCTCCAAGGTCCCTTCCAACTCTGTTATCCTGTTGATTATTCTGATTTAACTAAGGTGGAAGCAAATGCCTCTGAACTCTTCCTCTCAACTACACAGGAAAAAGGGAAACTAAATCTTAAATACTAAACCATGGTTTAACTTGTTGACAAAACCATAATTGTCTGTTTACATCATAATTGCTGGATTCACACAAAATTCTAAGTGACTCATGTTACAGTTAGCATGGTGCATAAAACTATGCTATAAATGGAAGAAGTAGAAATCAAACTGCACTCATATTCCGTGAAAATATGGTTTAACTAAAGTTTATTTAACTATGAGTAAGATTTGTAAAAGATGCTAAACAAAAATCAATTATGACACAGCAATATATGAGAACTCTGTATTCCCATAATTTACAGAATTACAAAGTATCCAGACCATTTTAACTGTGTTAAAATACATTTTATACAAACCCAGCCAGTGCTGATAGTTCCATGCAAACTCGGAAGATTCAGCTGATTTGACAAATAACATGGTTTTTAATGAGTAAACCTGTAATCAGAACACACGTCATGGATGGAACCATCAGATACCTTTGCTTTCTTACCTTTGATGGCACTCACAATTATCTTTCACACATGGGCTGTAGTTCTTCACTGCCTCGTCAATTTGAACAAGGAATTTTTTCCAGTGTGCATCTAAAATTTAAACAGAAATAGTTTTGCAAATTTAATTATTTCCACTGTGTTTTTGATGCAGGAAGTGCAAGGTTTCCATATACAGTATGTTCTGTGAATACTGTGCCTGCAATATGAATGGAATTGGATTTATAGTTTTATGATTAAATTATTCATCTTTTCTTCTAATACTTGTTCCAAAAATAAGAAAACATACAAACCTCCCCCAAATGATTGAAATCTTTTCCCCCAAATTACACAATTAAATAACTGCAGGAAAAATATATTACAAACTTCTTGTTAAATACATCAGGTAAGTATATTAAAATGTTTGTCTTGCAATATTTTTACTTCGAATTAATGTATCGTTCTATCTTTTTAATTTACTTTGAATCTTTAGCACGTTGAACATTATTTTTGCTCTTTTTTCCTTGAATAGTGTATTTTTTTTTCATATAAAGTGCTCTGAGTTCTGAAAAACATGAGTTAGCCAATACGTAGATTAATATGGTACATTAATTGGATTTGAAAGAAAAAAGGGACCTGCAAACTAGAGGCAGATTAAAGTTATAAAATTTGCCTCTAATTTATGGTTTAATTCATCTGAATAAATGATAATTTATTTGCACAGTATAGTTTTGATCAAGCAGGTTAATGTATCGCACAAGTAAATGAGATGTAGGAGTACGGGTAACTCTCACTGATAAGCCAATGTATTTTTTAAGTTCTTTATTTACTCAGTGACTATGCCAAGCCACAAATTCCTTTCTGGTATCATCTACATTTATGCCCACAGTATGATATGGTTTTAAATTCACAAGCATTTAATCTTGTGAGTAAAAGTATGTGATGACATTTTTATAATGCTGCATTACATTATTCTACAGTCTTATGACACATGGGACTATAGAGTCCAGAGTCATGAGCTGGAACCAAGTTACCATATATTAAAGGCAACAAGTGAGCAGAAATGGCTTCAGTTCCATCTCTAATGTCCAAAGGGGATAAAATATACTCCAGCAATACTTCTTAAATCATTGCTTAAACAAGTTTACAGATGCAATTTTACCTGGATAAACTTTTCTTTTTCATTAATTATTTAATATGCAGAAAATCCCCACCTGATTCGGAAAAGTTGCTTCAGAGGTAAAGAGCAAGCACAGGAAAAGATGCAGCTTCTCAAAACGGGACACAGACATGTTATGTCAAAACACTTTTTTGGGGGGGGTAACTGAATCAAAGTGCTGCACTGTCCTAATAAATTACAAAAGCAAATGCTATCACATCGGTTTTTTGTGATTAAGATTTCTCAGTCTTGTTTTCTAATATACAAAAAAGTAATGCTTCCAGATGAGTGAAACTCCTAGAATTCGTCGTGATGCCAAAGATTTCTCATAAATTGTAGGCTATCAGGTCGTAGAAAAATCTTAATTTAGTATTTTAATTCGGTAAATTTATTTTTCACTAATTTGCAAAACAGTATAATATTGAAAATAGTTAAAGCGTATTAGGAAACAAGTTCCAGGTGAATGTTCAAATCTCTGGCAAAACAAGAAAAAAAAGGAAACTTATAAAGGAATACACTATGATATTGGCCTCTGAACAACGAATGACTCCAGAAAGTCAAGAATGAGAAGGTACAGAAAGAATTCCTTGATCCCATAGATTAGCACACTGCAAAACAAAATTGTATCGAGGTACGTTTCGGTCCCATTTTGCTTCCGATCAGTGAAAAATTATCCTAAGAACACTCACCTGATGAGCTACTTCCCCAGCACACAGTAAACAGAAACAGAATACAAACATGCGAAATCCCAAGAGACAATTGCAGACGCCGCATCACGCCGAACACCAAGCTACAACTTTAACGCATGCGCCCTCACATCCTCCCGAATTTCACTGGAACGATTCATTGAAAAAAAGGAAAAGCCGATTGTACCAGCCCCGCCTCCATCGATAGCAGTTTATACGCACGCTCAGAAGTAGTGTCCCGCCGCCGCCGCCGCCGCGGTGGTTTATGGGGTTTGTAGTTTATTAACAGAAAAACCGTTTTGTATTGTGCATCATCGCGTATTGACAAGAAGAACCATGTTTAATCCCACATTCTAATATATAAAGATGTAGATTACTGAGATTGACAGATTACTGGTAGTGGTTTTATTTCAAACAGACCCGATACTCTCTCCAAGCACAAAAACCTGTTGATATCCAGGCAGTCGTTGCTGGGAGATCAGCCCTTTGGGCTCAGTGATTCCTTACTCAAGCTCTGAATGCTCAAGTCCGATGTAGGCAGCAACCGAGGGAGGAGTTAATGCATAGTTGCATCGGAACTGCCTGTTAGAAAATGGCTCCGGTCCGGTGACGCCACTTATTGTCTCCCTAACACCCGAGTTTCCTCAAATCTGCGATGAGCTCCAAACCTCCACGGAGACGAAGCTGCTGGTGGATCTCATGCGCTAAAAACACAGACACCTCCAACTGTGGGAAAAGATACCTCTGGGAGATCCAGAGGACCTTGGCCACTTATCGTTAATGGCAGGAGTGAACTTGTACTTTGTATTGGAGGATGTGTATGGAAACCTAATTCAGTGTTTGTTAATCGCTGTCCGGAACCTAAGAAATTTGCAGGGTCACATCCATGCTGAATATGTATTAAACAGAAGTTTTGCTGCACAGTCTACTTTAGACTACCCTGCGGGGTTAGCTGATCTGCAGAGTATTAGATGAACTCGAAAAAATGAGGTTGGAAAAAAAAAATCACGATTCTGTTAATCGTGGGTAAGCTGTCCTGCAAATATAGCACTTCAGGTTGCCCAAGTTTTCTTTGTGCGGTTAAGACAATGCGGTTTGTACACAGACTGGAGGAAGTATGGGTTAGTGGGAACAAAACGATGCTAAAATAATCAGGAATCCTTTTTCATGGGTAGTGTGTTGCAAAACAAAAACATATATTTGTAGTTATGTTGGATGTTGCATTAAACAATGCAAGGGAAATCTCTGAAGCATGATAATTGTTATTATAATAAAATAAAATAAAGAGGGAAATTGGCAGCATTGTTTAAAGCGAGTGATCTCCCAATGACCCAAAACCTTGATTTGAGGAAAAATAGCACATATTTAATCTCTGTTATTCTGCTCAAATTGATTGCCAGATGAAAGTCTCTTAACAAGCTAAAGCTTGTATTAGTTGATGAGAAATGTACTCTTGTTATGTAATGGAATAGAAGAAAAGGAAATACCATAAGATATGCCTCTTTTATTTTTCTGGGAAGATTTTCAAATGATATCCCTATAGTAGATGTACATTCATCAGTTACAATCAGCATTTCAAAAGGGAAGAGTGTCTTTACTGTAACTTCATATGCACTACAGCTGTTTTGGGGGGGAAAACTGTTTTCCCACAAAGATAAAAGAATGCAATTACTTAAGTAGGAAGCTGTTTCAGAAGTAATGCAAAAACACAATATAGAAGTGTCCCAAACCTTTAGGAGTTTTGAAATGGGTCAGATGTGAATCCTGTGCAAACAGATATTACATTCACTACAGTGTATCACCTTTTATTTATTTATCAAATTTATATAGATCCTTCTTGCCTAAGTGACTCTGGATGGTTTATAAATAAAAGCCATACAGTCCAGAGGTGGTATTCAGCAGGTTCTGACCAGTTCTGGAGAACTGGTAGCGGAAATTTTGAGTAGTTCGAGAACCGGTAAATACCACCTCTGACTGGCCCCGCTCCCATCTATTCTCTGCCTCCCGAGTCCCAGCTGATCGGGAGGAAATGGGGATTTTACAGTATCCTTCCCCTGCTTTGTCCACCAAGCCACACCCACCAAGTCATGCCACGCCCACAAAACCGGTAGTAAAAAAATTTGAATCCCACCGATACAGTCATATAAAAGAAACATAGAAAAAAAGTGAAAAACAGAAGTAAAATAAAAACAGAAGTACAAAATTTATAATTAAATCGTTATAAATTTAAAAAGACAGAGTACCCTCAAGCCACCAACCAATCCTCAGGATTGTATGTCACCCTTTAATTCACAGATAAGTGGCAGAGTCTGATCTGATGCTCTTCAGGAAGGCTAGCAGAATGGGGCCTGCCTCATCTCCGGGAACAAGATATTCCATAGGGCAGGGCAACCGAAGAAAAGGGTTCCTTCGTAAGCCTGCCAATCAAATTCTTTGATCTACAGCAGGGATGTTAAACTCGCGGCCCATGGGCCAGTTGCCTTACGCACTGGCCACGTCCATGCCTAGTTTAGCGAAGGGAAAAAATCCCGATATGTCAACGCCGTGATGATGTGAGTTTGACACCCCTGATATACAGAGTGCACAACATATTTTCTCTACCTGATTGGGAGGAATGAGTTGATGTAATTGGGACAAGACTGTTCCACAGGCCACCTGTTCCCATGCCGCTTAGGGCTTAAAAGGTAACTAACACTTTGAATTGGACTTGCAACTTCTGGATATTCTTAAAGGGTAGCCCCATGAAGAGCACATTGCCGTGGTCCATCCGAAAGATTACCAAGGCATGAGTGACTGAAAGAAGAACTGCTTGATAGAGGAAGGGACATAACTGGCATATTTTCTCATTAATATTTTTCATTCTTCTCAGATTCACGAAACTTTTAATTTTGCAAAGTAGATGAACATTAGAAAGGAAAAGCTTTTGCAGTTTACTGCTACGCTGAAAGTCTGCACCAGGTTATGTGAGAACAGACTCACACTAGGTATCATTGGACAAAAGGCTTAGGTGAAATTGTTGGCTTTCTCTTTTTGCTTTGCTAGAATTTTAGTACAATATATGTATATTGAAAGTGCTAAATATTAGCTAAAACTATTTTTTCTATCAGAATTTAGTCTCACATGCTTTAAATAAATGCTTCACTACTATAAGATTACAATAAGATTCGTATTTGTTCAGATCTGAGCTAACCACATTTATTTCTAAGTAATATTTCTTAAATATTTCTTGGTAACATAAAGTGGAAAAAGAAAATAGGAGAATGGAAAGGGATTTGTATTTAAAATAAACTTCATTATTGTACATACTCATACATGACAATAAGTATTCATTAAATTCAGTGGATTGTTTTTAGAAAGTAGATTGGAATAAATTGAAAATTCTGAAGGAATTTAAGATATTTTGAGTCTTATACAGGTAGTCCTCGACTTATCACCACAATTGAGCCCAAAATTTAGGTGAGACATTTGTTAAGTGAATGTTGCACCATTTTATAACTTTTCTTGCCAAATTTGTTAAGTGAATCACTGCAGTTGTTAAATTAGTAACACAGTTGTTAAGTGAATCTGCTTGTCAGAAGGTTGCAAAAGATGGTCACATGACCTCAGGACACTGCAACAGTCATAAATGTGAACCAGTTGTCAAACATCCGAATCGAAATCACATGACCATGAGGATGTTGCAACGGTCATAAATGTGAAAAATGGTCATAAGTCACTTTGTTCAGTGCCGTTGTAACTTTGAATGATCACTAAGTGAATTGTTGTAAGTCGAGGGCTACCTGTACTTGCTGGTCATCATGTTGTGCCCTTATTCTTCTACCTTCTTAATAGCCCATGATATTTTTTACTGTAAATATATAACATTGAAAGAAATTAATTTTCTTGGAGACACCAGTAATCTGTGATTATCATTCATATCTTAGTAAAATTCACTGCAGTATTGTAATGTTCGTAATTGTCCTGGTGGGACTCCATATTGTTTTTCGGCTATCCTTTTTGTTCTGACAATAAGAGTAGATTCAGTTGCTTCATGGAAATATAAGACTCAACATCTGTAGATAGCAGGAACTTAAAAAGAAAAGAGTTCTTGCAGAACAGAGGTGGGTTGCCCCCAGTTCGCACCGGTTCTATGGAACTGGTAGTAAAACTGGCAGGATCCCAACGTCATCAAAATGCTTCTGCGCATGCACAGAAAAGCACACGCACGAACAAAGCTCGTGCACGCACGCGGCCCCACTGTGAACCAGTAGTAAAGGTAAGTAGAACCCACCCCTGTTGCAGAACATTCAGAATGGATTTCAGTATTGTCACAAAGGAGACCTACTTAGATGGACTGGAGAATTTCTTCTGAATCTGATCCCTGTCTTCATCAGTGAAGGAATTCATTTCTGTTCATATCAGTGTGTACTTTAAATATAACTGTTCCAATTACACAATATTCTACTAAAACTTTAAATGAGATTATTCAATGCAGAAAAATAGACTGCCTTAGAGAAAATATAAGTGTCTGGAGAATTCCCCATGTCCTCCTATTGAAGTCTCTTGTTAAATAACTCGTCAAACTTCCATCTGAGCTTTTGTGATTTCAGAATTCAATAGTTTTCTCCAACTAATCATCCCAGGAGATAAACTGCCAATAACAGATAATTAAGTTGCATGGGGCTCTATTAAAACTTTACGAGACAATATTTTTGAGATCTATACTTGCAAATTAGCTGCAGTGGGCATTGTTAAGAAGATACTGTTTGCATGAGAAATAAACAGGAGAAGGATGTACATTAAACATATTCTCCACTGGCTGAAAATTGCAGCAAATTCATTTTAATCCATTCCAAAATTAGAAACAGAGCCCTGAGCATTCATTAAGGATGCTGTTGCTCATCAGACAGACGCATCAGGGCAGAACTCCAGAGAGGAACTGCCTTTCTCACAGACGAGATGATTCACTTAATAATAAAATGCAAAAGAAATTGAAAACCAGTAAAAACTTTTTCTGAACTAAATAAAAGAGCTAGTGCTTAGAAAGACTGATATTCATATCATTTATATACCTACATATAAATATACATTATATACATTATATATTTAGTATTTTTATGGGTTCATTACTGAAATTCTTTCATTGAAATATGAATACTGTATGTAGCTAATGCTAATGCTATTGTTTATCCCTGGAGAAAATATTTTCACATATGCCTCATTCAAG